CATTCTTAGTGGTGTGTAGCATGTCCTGTGGGTGACTTTGCCCACAGAAAATGTCGGGAATCCGGTTGGTGGTGTTTCCGTCTCTGCTTGTGCATGTTAGCGCCAGCCATTCTGTTTCACTTGTAGGGGACCTTGATCCTCCAATTTTTGTTTGTTTATTCAGAAGACACAGATAGGGTTCCCCTTGGCTGTTTCAATCCCTGGAGCCTGGCTCCTGGCTGGCCTGCTGTGCTGAGACACCTGCCCCTGAAAACACGTCCAGATTAGATCTGAAATCATGCCAACCTGCGCAGAGCCTGGTGGCTGTTGCCTTTGGCTGCAATGTCTGACCCTTCCGAGGGTCTGTCTCCTCAGGCAGAGAAGATCCTGAAGGAGCAGGAGCGGCTGGCCTACATTAACCCCGACCTTGCCTTGGAGGAGAAGAACAAAGGCAATGAGTGTTTCCAGAAAGGTACTCCCCGAGCCCTGCTGGCCGCTGGGACCCCCTAACAGGAGGGGGTGGGTGCCTGGCCCAGGACCATGGCAGGACCACGGCTGGCCTCTTCCTCCTCCAGGGGACTACCCCCAGGCCATGAAGCATTACACGGAAGCCATCAAACGGAACCCCCGCGATGCCAAGTTGTACAGCAATCGAGCTGCCTGCTACACCAAGCTCCTGGAGTTCCAGCTGGCACTCAAGGTGAGCCATTCGGCGGGCTGGTGGACTCTCCCAGCTAATATCCCTTGCCATGGGACGATGTCTCCATGGGCACCTACACACACTGTTTGCGTGCCCTGCTCAGAGCCACAGGTCCTGCTGTCACGCGCGCTAGACACTGGGGTCTGTACAACTGGCTGTTGTGAACAGGCCTATTTTAAGCCGTGTGCACGAAGCTGTTCACGTCCCTGGTTTTGCTTCTGCAGGGTCTGTACTTAACGTCAGGGTTGCCAGGCGGTATGGTACATGGGCTGGGTGATGTTCTCCAGCAGCCACCCTGGCTGCTATGGCGGACACCTGGACAGGTCCGTGGGCAGGTGACAGTGCCTTGTCTGGAGCCATCTTGATCTGGGTTCTTATTTACGTCTTGAAGACGATTTATGTGTTTGTAAATTAGAGGAAAGACAGCGACAGCTCTGCCATCCACCAGTTTACTCAAGTGGCTGCGACAGCCAGGGCTGGGCATCACCTCAGCTTCCCGCGTGGCTGGCACGGCCTAGCTGCATTGGACACAGAGTGGATAGTATTTGAACAACAAACTGTCCCGCTAATGTGGGTGCAGGCCTCCCAAGTAGTGGCTGTACGTTCTGTGCCACAAGACACACACAGTGCCAGGTGTCGCTGCTGTTGCCAGGTCTGTGCGGGTGACAGCTGCAGCTGTGGACCTGCATACTGGGCGACGTGTCTCCTGACCCATCTTGGGAAGGAAGTGATCCACAGGCCTAGCTCTCCCCAGTCACGTGTGTGCTGTGCTGACGGTGACCCCATTGGGCCACAGAGCCACCAGTGCACGTGGTGACCTCCAACAAGGTCACAGAGCAGCCAAGTTCCGACTTCCTGCTTGTCCGCGCGTCTCCTGTGGAGGCCTGCACAGGTCGCATCATCCTGTTTTCTGCAGTTTCTCAAAGTCGAGGCTCCCACCTGCTAGTGTGTTTGGTAGCCTGAGTCTTTGGAGGGCCCCGTGGCTGTGCTCTGTGCTGCATGGCCCACCGGGAGCGCCTGGGCTGTGCAGGGCCAGCTCCATGAGCTTGACGCCTTCTCTGCTGCTCTTCCAGGACTGCGAGGAATGCATCCAGCTGGAGCCCACCTTCAGTGAGTGCCTCCCTGGGCTCTCCTGTCCCTGGGCTCTGGGCAGGCCCTGCTATGGGTGGGAGCTGAGGCCTGGACGCTGTCTCACTCCCGCTGTTGTCTGCAGTCAAGGGCTACACACGGAAAGCAGCTGCACTAGAGGCCATGAAGGACTACACGAAGGCCATGGACGTCTACCAGAAGGCATTGGACCTGGACTCGAGCTGTAAGGTGGGGTCACCACGGCCTCTCACCTCGGCTTCCCTACAGAGCTTGTGGGCATCACAGGTCCTCCTGGCCCGCAGTGGGTTGTCGTTATTTCTGGTCCCAGACTCTGGGAAGGCCTCTGCTCTGCTCCCTTTCTGCTCCGTTCCCCTGGACTTGATGGAGCAGTGACCCGGTCAGTCCTGACTGCCCACCCATCTCTGGCCCACAGGAGGCAGCAGACGGCTACCAGCGCTGCATGATGGCCCAGTACAACCGCCATGATAGCCCCGAGGACGTGAAACGCCGGGCCATGGCTGACCCCGAGGTGCAGCAGATCATGAGTGACCCGGCCATGCGGCTCATCCTGGAGCAGATGCAGAAGGACCCCCAGGCCCTGAGCGAGTGAGTGGCGCCCGAAGAGTGGCTAGGCAGGAACAGGGGAGCAGTTCAGTGGGGCTCAGTCTGGGAAGCAGTAGTTACTCTCTTCAAAAGTTGGGGCACAGCAGGTGAAGGTGCCTTGTGGCAAGGCTGGCTTCCCATTTGAGAGTACAGCTTCTACCATGAGGTCAGCCCGCTTCCGACCAGCTCCCACTGCTGCTCAGACAGCAAGCGTGGGCCCCTGACAGCCACAGGGGAGGCCTGGGTGCAGCACTGAGCATGCAGCTCATCCCTGGCTGTTACAGCCAGTGGGGGCAAGTTACCAGCAGAGAAGTGTTGGTGATGGGCGGGGTGCCGCGCTGATGGCCTAGCTCCAGGGTTCCCTCTGGCTTCAGGCTGTGCGCACTCATGGGGGGCTGGATGAGACCATAGGCTCACATCTGACCCCTGCCCTGCCCCCAGACACCTCAAGAATCCCGTCATTGCACAGAAGATCCAGAAGCTGATGGACGTGGGGCTCATCGCCATCCGGTGATGACGTCGGCGTCCCCCCTTCCGTTGTCGCCCTCCTGTGGAAACAGCTGGGACCGTGGCAGGCAACAGGGCGGAGAGGACGGGGGCAGAGAGCAGCTCATCCACGTTTGGGCCCACGCAGAAGAGACTCGCCACGCGTGTTGCCCACCAGCCGCCTCCGGCCCACCCAGCACACGCATGGTCTCGACATCACCGTCCCCGAGTTCGTGTCTCCTTCCCCTGGCCCCAGTTGCTGTCTCGGCTGCTCTCCCATAGTTGGTTATTTTTTATTTGGGGCAGTGGGCATGTATGGGGAGGGGAGGGTATTCTTCCCAGCCTTGGGTCCCAGCTGTCTTCACCTTGTTAACTCCACCAGCCCTTCTCCAATAAAACAAGCTAGCTGGGCGTGGTTCTATGTTGTGTGGTTTCGGGGCTTCCTTCCAAAGACTGGCCTGTGGGAGCAGCACCCTGGATGTGGGAGATGCACAGATGGGCCTCCTGTTTCCCGTGGCTTTTCTCTCGGTCCTGGAGCCTGCCACGTGGGGGCCCTAGTGAGCTGGGCTGGGACGTGGCTCTGCCTGGGTCACCTCCAGGTGGTGCTGTTGTTCCAGAGTGGCATTGGCAGGAGCTGGACTGGGGTGAGCCTGGTCTGCTACTCTACACTCCAGTGGGAGAGCCCAGGCCCGCCAGCCCCAGGAGCACTGGCTGAGGCCCAGGAACTCGAAGCTCTCTTCTGTGGAGGATTGGGAGACCTCTGCAGTCTGCCCCCTGGGGTCAGAGTCAGGTTTTTGTCTGTGAGCTTTTCCCCTTGAATTATTAAGAGTTACGCAGGGGCTGGCTTGCTGGCTCAACTAATTCTCCACCGCCAAATGCCGACATCCCATTCGGGCGCTGGTTTGTGTTCTGACTGCTCCACTTCCCATCCAGCTCCCTGCTTGTGGCCTGGGAAAGCAATTAAGGATGGCCCAAAGCCTTGGGACCCTGCACCCCTATGGGACATCCAGAAGAAACTCCGAGCTTTGGATCAGCTCAGCTCCAACCGTTACTGGAAGTGAACCAGTGGATGGAAGAAATAAGTCTTGCGGGGGGGGGGGGGAATGTACAGATCGTCTACCCACTGGCTCCCTCCACAGATGGCTGCCATGGACAGGCCAGCAAGGAGCCTGGAAGTCCATCGGGGATCTCCCACTGTGGTGGCAAGAGCCCAAGGACTTGCTCGGGTCTGACTTTCTCGGTTGTGTTAGCAAGGGGCTGGTTCAGAAGCAGCAGCCCAAGCGCCACTTACCAAGCAGCTGCTTAACCCACTGCTCTGCAACACCGAATTTGAAGAGTTCACTGCTTGCAGCAGCTGCTTGTCTTGGGGCATTCTGCACAGGGGAGGTGGCTGGAACTGGGGAAGACTTCCTCATTCACTGGCCAAGCCCTGAAAGATGCTGAGGTCAGCAGTGTGCTCAACTTCTGCCTCACATTTGCATAAGCCTGGGGCCTGGCTCCACCTCTCCGCCAACCCCCCATCCTCCCAGCTCTTCCCTGCAGCCACCAATCCACCATCCACAGCTGAGAGCCCACAGGCAGGCCTTGCTCCTCTGCTGGAGCAGGAAGGCCAGAAGGCCAGCTAGACCCTCTCACTCTGCTGCCAGAGGAGGTGTCCGCTTGGAAGCTTGGAGGCCAAGGAAGGGGCCGGAAGTTTGAGTGGCTGAGCTCATTTCTCTGTTACCTGGTTAGCTCTGGTGTTGTCAAGCTTGGAAATTAAGGCTCTACTGGAGATTAGATGGGCAACAGCAAGCTTCCTGCAGCGGGGACCTTGCTCCAGGGCCTCTGGCAAATGAGGGACGCCTGGGGCTGGCCTCTAGGCTTGCTGAGGTGGCAGGGGCAGGCTGTGAAGGCCAACAGGGCAGGGGGATTTCTCTGGTTAGGGCTGAAGTCGCCTCCCCCGCCAGGGCAGGCCCACTCCCAGGAGCAGGGGGCATTGTTGGGTGCTGGGCGCACTGACCCCTCTTGTTTCGCTCACTTCCTGTAGCAGCGGGACCAGAAGCAGCGGCCCATGGAGCCGCCATACACCATGCTTGCAGTGTGCTTCCGGTCCCTGCCTCCCGCCCTGGGGAGGGGCAAGCACACTGTGCTGGTGATAAGGCAACTCCCCACAGGCCTGGTGGCAAAAAGAGGAAAGGCCTGCCAGCTGCAGGTGCAGAGCCCGAGGCCCAGGCCGCTGTCCCCACCTGCCACCCGGCCTTTGCAGGCAAGGTAAGCTCTGACCAACAACTAGGACCCCGGGCCCTGCCTTGTTCGCTTGCACTGCACACCCCTCTCCCCCGCCCACCCCAGTGTACTATGGCTGCTTTGAGATGTCTGGCTCCCACCATGGGTTGGGACTGGGCTCACACACCCATGCAGTCAGTGGGCAGCTGGGGTCAAGACCTGCAGCCTTGCAAGCGTGGAGTGGGTTGGACAACGTGGTCTGCAAGGGCCCTTCCGGCTCCGCCCGCTGGGGCCTCCGTGCCTGTGTGTCCCACTACCGCCGGTGTGTGGCCCCCCGCCCAGCTTGCCTCCTTCTGCCCCAGTGCAGGAGCAAGCCGCAGCCATGGCGGGGATGCAGACGGCCTCTGGGGACTACATCGACTCCTCCTGGGAGCTGCGGGTGTTCGTGGGCCAGGAGGACCCCGAGGCTGAGACGGTGACCCTGCGCGTCACCGGGGAGTCGCACATCGGCGGGGTGATCCTCAAGATCGTGGAGGCGATCAGTGAGTACCGGGCACCCCACAACACCCACCCCAGGACACCCCTTGGTGGCCGCCAGCAGGACCCCAGGCGCTTCCGGGCCGGCCCACCTAGTCACTGTGACTCAGACCCTGGCTGCATCAGGCAGCTCCCACACGTTTCCTCAGCTTCCCCTCCTGTCCTCCCTCCTCCTCTTCCCCAGCAGCCCCCTTTGCCTGCCCCAGCTGGGTCTGCTGAGGCCCAGGCTTGAGGTGCAGGCTGGGGTGCCCCGCAATCCCTTGTCTATCACTGTTGGGGGGTGCCTTGCCTGGGCCAAGTAGAGGGGGAGCCCTGAATTCTAGGGGAGGTGTGGGGGGCTCCTGGGGCTCAGTCTGGTGCTAGGGCCCTGCCCCCACAGGAAGTTACACAGCCTCCTGTGGTATCAGCCTCGGGGCCAAGGATGTGCATGCTGGGCACGGCCTGTCTTCCTGGCAGGCGGCGAATCCCCCTTGCAGGGGGTGCGATAACCAGAGCCGGAAGGCAGGCCCACAGGAGCCTGAGAGTGGGGAGGCGTGTTGGGCCAGCACCCCCAGTCTGCAGCCTGGGAAGAGGCCCAAGCAGATAAGGGTGCCTCCAGAGGCCACAGGAAAGCGGAAGCAGGACGAAAGGTCCCTGGAGACATCTGTGGCAGCCAGGGCCCGGCAGGTGTGTAGGCCTCGTCCTGGCCACAGCCAGCCTGCGGTGGGGTGCCAGACCTGGAGGTAGCATCAGACACCAAGGCAGACAGGCCATGGCTCCAGCACCGGGGAGGCCGGGCGAGTCTCTGCAGCCTGAGCCCCCTGGCTGCCCACGCTCAGTCACTCCTGAGGGCATGAGAGGCCGGCCTGGGCTTCCCCACAGTGGGGGGCTCCCGGCCAGGATGGGATGGAAACAGGGAAGGCCGAGAGGGGGAAGTGGGCAGCACGAGGCCCAGGGCAGAGACAGAGGTCAGCTAGTGGACAGCTGAGTGGGAGGGGCTGCAGGCTGTCCCTGGAGCAGCGTGGCTTGCCTGTGGGCTTGGTACTTGAGCTTCTGCAAGGGTATGGAGAGGAGGCTGGGCGTCCCCTGTGCCCTGTCCAGTGATGAATCCACATCCGCGCTCTCCGGTGAGGGTTCCTCGGCAGGGCAGAGCCTGTGGGCTTGGCCATAGAGGGGCAGGGGCTTGGCACGCTGGGTAAGGCACGGCACGGGGCTCCCACATCTCATAGCGCAGTGTCTGGTCCGAGTCTCAGCTCTGTCTCCAGTCCGGCTTCCCGCCATTGTGTGCCCTGGGATGCTTCAGTCCATTTTGGTCCCTGCCACCTGCGTGCTCCCGACTCCTAACACAGCCCCACCTGCTTCGGGCCCTTGGGGAGCAAAGCAGCTCATGGTCAGTCGCTCTTTTTGCCATTTCAACTGGCCGGTTTTCTGAGAAGCTTCGAGAAGAGTGGGTGTTGGGGCACAGCAGGTTAAGCTGCTGCTGGTGGGTGTTCCTGTCACCTATCAGAGTTCCTGCTTCCACTTTCTTTCCTTTTTTTTTTTTTTTAAAGATTTATTTATCTATTTTATTGGAAAGGCAGATACACAGAAAGGAGGAGAGACAGAGAGGAAGATCTTCTGTCCGATGATTCACTCCCCAAGTGAGCGCAACGGCCGATGCTATGCCAATCCGAAGCCAGGAGCTTCTTCCGGGTCCCCCACGCGGGTGCAGTGTCCCAAAGCTTTGGGCCGTCCTCGACTGCTTTCCCGGGCCACAGGCAGGGAGCTGGAAGGGAAGCGGGGCTGCCGGGATTAGAACCAGTGCCCATATGGGATCCCGGGTGTGCAAGGCGAGGACCTTAACCACTGCGCCACTGCGCCAGGCCCAGCTTTCACTTTCAAATCCAGCTCCCTTTGAGCTCGTACCCTGGGGAGCTGCAGGTGATGGCTCACATATTTGAGTCCCTTCTACCCATGTGGTAGACCCGGGTTCGATTCCAGGCTGCTGGCTTTCAATGTGTTGCTGACATTTGAAGGAGATCCTTTCTCTCTCTCTGCTCTGCCTTTCAAATAAATAAAAGCAAAGAAACATTTCTTCGAGTTCATGGAAATTGGAATTTGTTTTGGTGAAGAAAATCCCGTGTAGTTGTTGGATGATATTTGCTCGGCGAACTTTTTGAAGATGCCTTGCACAGTCGCCTCACGTATCCCTCAGAGACAATGCGCGGAGCAGGTGCTGGCAGGCCCAATCCCAGGCTCTGAGCACAGGCAGCAAGCAGTTGGGGTCTGCACCTGCCTGAGCCTCTGGGGGCTGCAAGGCGGGGGGCTGCTGAGCGTGCACACGCCCACGCCTGGGAGCCTGCGCACGCCCACGCCTGGCCTCATCCACGCAGATCGCAAACAGGACTGGTCAGATCACGCCCTCTGGTGGGAGCAGAAGAGGCAGTGGCTGCTGCAGACGCACTGGACGCTGGACAAGTACGGGGTCCTGGCAGACGCCCGCCTCTTCTTCGGGCCCCAGCACCGGCCGGTCCTGCTGCGGCTGCCCAACCGCCGCGCGCTGCGCCTCCGCACCAGCTTCTCGCAGCCCCTCTTTCAGGCCGTGGCCGCCATCTGCCGCCTCCTCAGTGAGTGACCCCAGGGACAGGGCACCCCACCCCGCTGCACCTCGGGGAAGGCGGCACGAGGGGCGTTCTCCCCGCTGAGGCCCAGTTCCCCGACAGGCATCCGGCACCCGGAGGAGCTGTCGCTGCTACGGGCTCCCGAGAGGAAAGAGAAGAAAAAGAAAGAGAAGGAGACGGAGGAGGAGGTGTACGACCTCACTCGAGTTGTCCTGGCTGGCGGTGAGCAGGGTGGGCGCTGCAGAGTGGGCCGGCCAGGGCCGAGCGCGGCTGGGTGGGGGCGTCCACGCTGACCTCTCCGCCCCCACCCTGTGCCTTTCAGGAGTGGCGCCGGCGCGGTTCCGGGGGATGCCGGCACACTTCTCCGACAGCGCGCAGACGGAGGCCTGCTACCGCATGCTGAGCCGGCCACAGCCGCCTCCGGACCCGCTGCTGCTGCAGCGCCAGCCCAGATCCAGCTCCCTGCTGGACAAGACCCAGCTGCACAGCAGGTGCGTCCCCGCTCGCTCCTGCCTCCAGGCCTTCCCCACTCACACACCCCGCTTGGAGCATCCCTGACCCTGGCCTCTGTGCGGCAGGTGGCTGGACTCATCGCGGTGCCTCATGCAGCAGGGCATCAAGGCGGAGGACACGCTCTGGCTGCGCTTCAAGTATTACAGCTTCTTTGACCTGGACCCCAAGGTGCGCCACGGCAGCCTGGAGCTGCCCGGGGTCTGGAGCCAGGGTGGGGGCAGTCACCACGTTGCTCTGTCCTTTCCGGCTTGTTGATGGACACCCTGGAGAGTAGTGGGCTCAGGTGCACACTCGGGGAGAGGTGGGAGACAGCTCGGGAGGCTCCCTGTAGGTGGCGGGAGACGGGGGTCAGCACTTGGAGTTGCAGAGCTGGGACCCCCATAGCGCCTTCTACCCACAGAGACCCACAGCCACAAGCCTGCCTCTGGAGCTCCCAGGCTATGCTTGCCATGCTGTGGGCTCTGCCAGCACTCCCCAGCTCTCACCTTCCGGGGCTCCCCCATGCTCCACTCTGCCTTCTGACAATGGCCAGTGTCTAGAAACCTGGTTACATCTGCAGCCCAGACACTTCTCATGCCTCCTGTGGCACTCTTCCCACACTGGATATATTTGTTATTGTATCTGTTGCGATCTCCCAACCCCTGGCTCACTTCCCCTAAATGCCTGCATCAGCCAGGGCTGGGTCAGGCTGGAACCAGGAACAAGGTGGCGGGGGCCCAAGCGTTCGGGCCAGCCTCCACTGCCTGCTGGGCACTCTAGCAGGGAGCTAGAACAGACAGGGAGGAGCCAGGATCAGAACCAGGATGTGGGTGTGCCTAGCAGCGTCTTTGCTACTGCGCTAAATGCCTGCCCTGGGATGGGGTCCCCAAAACCCCACGGGTTCCTTGATCAGTCCCCTTCCCTCCCCATCAAAAGCATTCTGGATCCTTCTCTGGCTCTCCATTGGTCCTCTCTTGGGCAAAAATCCGCATCAGCCTTTCTGATCCACGTCCTCATCCATCCCTTTGGGGCCAGTGGGCTTTGCCCAGGAGTGTCAGCCCAGCCCTCACCCTCAGCCCTGGCCTGGGTCTTGCCCCTCTGCTTCATAGCCGCTGGCCCAGGACACTGCACTGTCCCCCATGCTCCCATTCTCCCGGCCCAGCTCCTTCCTCCTCCTCCTCCCTCATCACTTCCCTTCCTTGGCACCCCTTTCTCTTCCCACCTGCTCGGGGACTGAGCACTTTTAGGATCCCATTGTCTGCTCTGTGTGGGCTGCTCAGTGCTATGGTTTTCTCTCTGACGCATGCGTCTGAGATTTGAGCACCCAACCAGGGTGGCTACCTAGTCACCCTTGCCCGTGAAGCCCCCTCCGTGCCCTGCACTTTACTGCCCCCCTTGACGTCTGTGCCCTCCCTACCCTCCCTGCTGTCCCTCACAGGCGCTGGCTTTGTTCCCGGGGTGACAGCTTTCTTGAGAAAGCTCACCCCGCCCACAGCACACGCCTGTTTGCAATGCCCAGCTCGGGGCCACGTGTGTTTCGGGTTGTGCAAGCGTCACTGGGAAGCAAGCTTGAGGACATCAGTCTCACCCCAAAGAAAACCCCCACGCCCTGCTGCAGTCACTCCCCACCCACCCCAGCCACCCTACACTAGCTTCGGTCTCTGCAGTTGTGTCCACACTGGCTGTGCCCCACTGGTTGTGGTGCTTACACAATTCCTGCCCTTTTCTGGCTATTTCCTGTCGCTAGGCACAATAATTCACATATATATATATTTATATATATATATATAAAATATAACATAAAAGGCTTACATTGAAAATTTAATAGGCGAGGGCTTGGTGCTGTAGCCTAGTGGCTAAAGTCATCTCCTTATGTGCCTGGGATCCCATATGGGCACTGGTTTCTTTTCTTTTCTTTTTTTTTTAATTCTTTTATTTTGATAATCTTTACATAGTTGATTAGGGCACAAAGGGTCAAGGGCTACAGGAAAGTGGGTAAGACCATTGTTTCCATATTAATATTATTATTATTTTGTTCTGTATCTGTATCTGGGGTAAGGGGAGAGAGAAAAGGAGAAGCCCCACCCAGCCTCCCACCCATCCCAGGTTCCCGATGTGGGGCACGCTCCGAGGGTCTTGCTCAAGCAGTTTTGATAGTTCAACAATTCTGAATTGCTGCCAATCTCGTCATTCCAAACATAATGAAATCTCTTCAGAATCCACTGGCTGACATGGTCTCTTCATGGTTGGGGTTCTGAGTCCAGTAGTTCATTTGGGGGGCTCCTCAAAGAAACTTCGTCTGAGGTGATCCCAGACCTGATTCTTTTTTTTTTTTTTAAGATTTATTTATTTATTGGAAAGTCAGATATACAGAGAGCAGGAGAGACAGAGAGGAAGATCTTCCGTCCAATGATTCACTCCCCAAGTGACCGCAACTGCCAGTGCTGTGCCAGTCCGAAGCCAGGATCCAGGAGCTTCTTCTGGGTCTCCCACGCGGGTGTAGGGTCCTAAGGCTTTGGGCCGTCCTCGACGGCTTTCCCAGGCCACAAGCAGGGAGCTGGATGGGAAGTGGAGCTGCCGGGATTAGAACCGGCGTCCATATGGGATCCTGGTGCTTTCAAGGCGAGGACTTTAGCTGCCAGGCTACGTCGCTGAGCCCCAGACCTGATTCTTGCGTGTGCTTGCCAGTACAGGGCCCGGCACAGTCTGTCGCCCCAATCAGCCGGTGGTTGCATTTGCTGGGTCACTTGTGTTTCCAGCCCTGCTTCCACACAAACCAGTGAGTGTTCCAGCCAAGCCTGATTCTGCCCAGCACACACTTGCCCTCTCGCAAACCAGTGGGAGCTGCAGCCTGGTCAGGCCGACTCCCAGTAACCCCCCCCCAGGCCCGCCCTCCACGCTGGTTCCCGTATGTACAGTATGTACAGTAGACTTGTCTCATCTGTCCCACATCCCATTCAGTTTTTATACATGTCAATGACATTGTTCATCCCAACCAGCTCTACTTTCCAGCCCGCACACGGATCCATTCTGTCTAGCCATGCCTGCCCCAGCCCTGGTTTTCATGAGAGTGGTAGCCCAAGAGGGAGGTACCCACTTATACCCTACTGAGCCACTCCTAGATCTTGCTCTCCACAGGTGGTTCTGCAGTTTGACTTGACAGAATTAGCCCCCAGTGCCAGCCTCTGCCAGCTGATGCTGCGGCAAAGGCCAGCCAACCCTTACCCACTCTGATTTATGCTTGCACCAGTAAGAGCAGTCAGCCCAGCCTGGCTTTTCCCTGCTTTAACTCACATGAGGCCCACAGGTGTTGCAGCCTGCCCGGTCTGGTCTGCCCCCATCCCAACTCACACTGTCCAGTGGGAGTGGCGGTCCATATGGGCACTGGTTCTAATCTAATCCTGGTGGCCCCACTTTCCCATCCAGCTCCCTGCTTGTGGCCTGAGAAAGCAGTCGAGGATGGCCCAAAGCCTTGGGACCCTGCATCCACATGGGAGACCCAGAAGAAGTTTCTGGCTCCTGGCTTTGGATCAGCTCAGCTCTGGCTGTTGCGGCCATTTGGGGTGCAAATCCATAGTTGGAAGATCTTCTTCTCTGTCTCTCCTCCTCTCTGTATATCTGACTTTGCAATAAAAATAAATAAATCTTAAAAAAAGAAACTTTTTAAAAAATGTAATAGGCAGAGCTAGAGAGAGAGAGCTCTTCCATCCACTGTTGACTCTCCAAATGGCCGCAACAGCTAGACCTGGGCTGAGGACTAGAGCCAGGAACCCCGTGTTCCACATGAGCATGGGGGACCAGACCCTTTGGGCCTTCTGCTTTCCCAAGCACATGAGCAGGGAGCTGGCTTGCTCGTGGAAGCAGCTGGGGCTATGGTGTTGGTATGCTGGTGTCGTGGGAAGCCTGGCCCCACCGCCTGTGCTCCTAGGAGGACGTTCGGAACCCGTGGCAGGCCTTTCCCGAGTGTGCCCACTTCCTGTGCTCTGGCCCTGTGTGCAGCGCCATGCTGCCAGCTGGGCGTGTGCCCTGTCTGGCTGATGGACCCTCTGGTAGCTCTGGGCGTGCTGACCTGTCCGCAATAAGAGCTTAAACCCTTTGTTCGTGTGAGTTTTTTGTTTGTTTAAAAAATATTTATTTTTATTGGAAAGTCAGATTTACAGAGAGAAGGGGAGACAGACAGATCTCCCATCTGCTGGCTCAACTCCCCAAGTGACCGCAATGGCCAGAGCTGAGCTGATCTAAAGCCAAGAGTCAGGAGTTTCTTCTGGGTCTCCCACATGGGTGCAGGGTCCCAAGGCTTTGGGCCTTCCTCCACTGCTTTCCCGGGCCACAAGCAGGGAGCTGGATGGGAAGTGGGGCCACTAGGATTAGATTAGAACCAGTGCTGATACGGGAACCCCAGTGCTTGCAAGGTGAAGACTTTAGCCACTAGGCTACTGCACCAGGCTCAAGAAAAAAAAATTTTTACCTGCTAGTTCATAACCCAAATGGTCAAACAGACAGAGCTGAGCTAACCTGAAGCCAGGAGCCAGGAGTTTCTTCCGGGTTTCCCAAGTGAGTACCGGGTCCCAGCTCCTTCCTTCAGAGTCACCAGTCAAATACTCCAAGATGGGCCTTGCCTGCCCCAGTTCTTTCTTTTTCACATTTTCCGTAGCTTTTCCAGTGACAGTTTCCACAGCCATTTCCTTTGCCTGTGCAGCTTTCTGTTCCTTTCTGAACATCAGTGGACACGCTCAGAGTGGCCGAAGGCAGACTTGCCCGTTGGTTCCACCTTGTGTGTTGCAAGGTCTGTTTCTATGGGCCATTTTGTCTCGTCACCTGCGTTGGGTTTCTTGCTTGTTCTGCCACCTCCTGTTTTTTTTTTTTTTTTAAGATTTATTTTATTTTTATTGGAAAGTTAGATATACAGAGAGGAGGAGGGACAAAGATCTTCTGTCCATTGATGGACTCCCCATTTGGCCGCAACAGCCAGAGCTGAGCTGATCAGAAGCCAGGAACTTCTTGCAGGTCTCCCATGCAGGTGCAGGGTCCCAAGGCTTTGGGCCGTCCTGGACTGCTTTCCCAGGCTATAGGCAGGGAGCTGGTTGGGAAGTGGAGCTGCCAGGATTAGAACCAGCGCCCCTATGGGATCCCAGCACGTTCAAGGCAAGGACTTTAGCTGCTAGGCTACCGTCCCAGACCCTGGAAATAGCATCTAAAAAACCACTGCAGGCACCCACTGCGGGCTCCTGCGCTTCCTTCCTGTGCAGCCCTCCGCTGCTTGCTGAGTCCCGCATTTGTGGGTCCCTGGGCCTGGGCTGCAGCTGGGAGCCCCTCTCCAGCAGGGGGCGCAGGGGAGGCGGTCTCCGCGCTGGTTCCCTGGTCCCTCTGCTGTGATGGTTGCCACAGCAGCCTGGGGCGCATGAGAGGCGCGGGTCCCTGTCCCGCGGGTCTCAGCTCCCATCGCCGCCCCCTCGCTTTCCCTGGCATGCGCACACATCTCCCTGCGCGTTTCTCATCAGGTGGTTTGCAGTCCACATACGTGGTCATGGCAGTGAGCAGGAGGCCCTGTAAGTCCCGCTTTCTCGGGGAAACCGGAGAGCCGTGCTCGAGTCTGCTCTCGGACCCTGCCGAGTTGCCGTGTTCGATTGCTTGCTGGTGCCAGAGGTTTTCTGGTCATGATCTGTGTGACTGTCTGGCCGCTGGGCGTCTGCACGGTGATGGGTGGGGCCGTTCCTTCCCCAGGCACCCCCACCCCAGTGGTGGGGTGGCACCAGGCTATCCGTCCCAGCCATGTCCTTCGTGGCTCGTGGATGGCTTGCCATCGGGACCATGGCGAGGTGGTTGTCCCTGGGCTTGCCGTTCCTCGGTAATTCGCTTGGTCCCTGGGTTTTTGGAAGGTTGTTGACCGCTGCCTCCCTCCTCTGAGGAGCACAGTTTGCACGGCTCCTCTGACAGGGCAGGGAGGTGTGAGTGTCATCAGGTCCTGAGTGTCCGTGGAGGCAGTGGCGCTGCGCTCGGTCCTGAGAACCTTACTGACGGGAGAGCTGTGGTTGGCCATGGTCTGCGCCTTCTGGAGATGCCTTCGCGCCCTCGGGTGCCGCTGTGGCCCACGAGAAGTCAGCTGTCATTTTTTCTGCTAGTCCTTCCGGTGATACTTTGTTTTTGTTTTTGTTTTTTTTTAAGACTTATTTATTTTTATTACAAAGTCAGATATACAGAGAGGAAGGTCTTCCGACCGGTGATTCACTCCTCAAGTGAGCGCAACGGCCGGTACTGCGCTGATCCGAAGTTGGGAACCTCCAGGACCCTCTTCCGGGTCTCCCACGCGGGTGCAGGGTCCCAAGGCTTTGGGCCGTCCTCGACTGCTTTCCCGGGCCACAGGCAGGGAGCTGGATGGGAAATGGAGCTGCCGGGATTAGAACCGGCGCCCATATGGGATCCTGGCGCGTTCAAGGCGAGGACTTTAGCCACTAGGCCACGCCGCTGGGCCCAAATCTTCTTCATTTTTCAACTCTATCTTTTTGTTCTATTTTGTGGAGAGTGCCCTGACTTAGCTTCAAAATCATCTGCTGAATGTGGAAATTCTACTGCTGTGTTAAAGTAAGTCTGCCAGGACCCGGCGGTGTGGCCTGGCAGCTAAAGTCCTCACCTTGAGAGCACTGGGATCCCATATAGGTGCTGGTTCTAATCCCGGCACCCCACTCTTCATGCGGCTCCCTGCCTGTGGCCTGGGAAAGCAGTGGGGGACAGCACAAAGCCTTGGGACCCTGCATCCCAACCGTGTGGGAGACCCGGAGGAAGTTCCTGGCTCCTGGCTTCAGATTGGCTCAGCTCTGGCCATTGTGGTCACTTGGGGGGTGAGACATCGAATGGAGAATCTTCCTCTCTATCTCTCCTCTCTCTCTGTCTCCCTCTATATATATCTGACTTTGAAATAAAAATAAATTAATCTTAAAAGTAAGCCAGCTAAATCTTTAAAGTTTTTTTCTTTTGTTTTGTTTTTGAAGAGTTATAGAAAGATTTTCTATCCTCTGGTTCACTCCCCAGATGGCTGTGACATCTGGGGCTGGGTTGTGCCAAACCCAAACACCAGGAGCTTCTTCTGGATGTCCCATGTGTGTAAGGCTGAATGCCAGGTGCCAACCAGGATGGTTTTCCCAGGGCATCATCAAGGAGTGGTGTCAGAAGTGGAGCTGCTGGGACATGGACTGGCACCCATTCTTAGATATCTGTGATGTACTTGGTGGCTTTACCTGCTATGTAACAATGCCAGCTGCTTAGATTTTTTTTTTCAGTTTCATTTTTTTATTTATTTGGAAGGAAGAGCTATAGAGAGGAGGAGAAATGAAAGAAACCTCTCTCTTCCACTGGTTCACTCTCCAAATGACTGCAATGTGCAAAGTAAAGCCTGGCTGCAGCTGGAGCCAGGCGCTCCTTCCAGGCCTCCCCTGTGGGCGCAGGCCTGCCTTCCCAGGCACATGGGCGGGAGCTGGGAGCCAGGCACTCCTTCCAGGCCTCCCCTGTGGGCGCAGGCCTGCCTTCCCAGGCACATGGGCGGGAGCTGGGAGCCAGGCACTCCTTCCAGGCCTCCCGCGTGGGCACAGGCCCGCCTTCCCAGGCACATGGGCAGGAAGCTGGATCAGAAGCAGAGCAGCAGCCATATGGGATGCCGTTGCTGCAGGTGGAGGCTTAACACGCCCCACGACACCAGCCAAGCAACTGTATTTTCAAGTTCTCAGAGGGTTTGTTTTATGTGTGTTTTGCTTAAACAGACAAAAAAAAAAGGGAGCCACCCAGTCTAAACTCTTTTGCACCCAGTTCCTGCACGCCCTGTTTATTGGATTCACGCAGGTTGCCTGTACCTGGAGCAAACGCTCTTGTTTCTGTCCGGCATCTCGTTGCGTCCACGTGCCACTGCTGGCTTCTCCCTCCTGCTGCTGGCAGGCATTGTGCAGTGTGGGATCTGGGCAACAGAGACGGGATGAACTTTGCCAGGCGTGCCTACTGGTGCACGCACAGCTGCAGTGCTGTGTTCTTTTTATGCAAGAGAATTACACGATTTTTTTTTTTTTTGGTAAGATGCGTTTATTTATTTTGGAAGCCAGAGTTTACAGAATGAGATGGAGACACAGAACAGAGAGGGCTCTCTGCTGCTTCACTCCTTCAAATGGCAGCACTGTGCCAAGCCAAAGCCAGCAGCTAGGAATTACAGTCAGGTCAGGTCTCCCACCTGGGTGCTGGGACCCAAGGACATGGCCATCCTCGCTTGTCTTCCCAGGTACCAGCAGGATGCTGGGTTGGAATTAAAACAGCTGGGCCTCGTCCAGCACGCGTACACTGTGGGTGGTGCTCCTGTGCTGCAGTGCCGGCTCCTATCCCTGTCGTGTCCAGGGGCAGGCATTGGCTCCAGTGGTTCCTGCCCCCGGGACATCTGCATCCCACAGCAGAGTCCGTGGATTTGAGTCGCAGCCACTTGGGATCCAGCTCCCTTCCACTGCACCCTGGGAGGCAGGCATGATGATGCCAGGACCTGCGCCCCCACCAGCCACACATATTGAGTTTGGGCTGCTAACTTCCGTCTGGCCTAACCCAGACTGTTGTGGGCAAAATCTCTCTCTCTCCCTCCCTCTTTCTACTTCTCTTTCAAACAAACTAAAAACAAAACAAAACATTCTATGACCCATTGAAAAATTTTTTTTCTGCTCCACAATTGCAAAGGTAGATTTCTGTTTTTCTGTGAAAGCTGCATTTATGTTTTTGTAAAGATTTGTTCATCTTGGGCCCAGTGCAATGATTCGATTGGCTAATCCTCCCCCTTGAAGCACCAGTATCCCATATAAGCACCAGTTCATGTCCCGATGGCTCCACATCCCGTCCAGCTCCCTGCTTGTGGCCTGGGAAAGCAGCAGAGGACTGCCGTGCTTAAACGTGCATGAGTGGATGTACAGTCTGTCTGGAACTGAAATTAGACTGTAGAATGAGGAAGGACTGGGGACATGTGGATACCCCACGGCCCCGTGACTCATGTTGCAGGGACCTGATATGGAACAGCTGGGACTTGAACCAGCATCCATATGAGAGGCTGGTTTCACAGCCAGTGGCTTTACTTAGTCCACTACTGTGCTGCCCCCTCCAACTCCCTTCCAATTTGCCCTTTTCAGCACAGCACCCCACACTTGGCTGGGCCTGGGAACGGGTGCTGGGGTCCCTCTGAGTCAGCATTTCCCTCGCGTTCTGCCAGTGCCACTTCCTGACAGCTGGCTGCCAGGTTGGGGAGGGACCTGCTCCTTTTGTGTCCTTGCCACCATCTTCACACAGGGCCGGGTTCGGAGTCTGTAGCCTGGAAGCGTGTGTTTAAGCCCGGTTGTTCCCTCCCCTGCCATGGCCCACTCTCTGTCCTTCACAGCTCCTCTTTGCTGCCCGTGCTGTGAGTTCTGTTCAGGCCCCCATAGCTACTGAGACCCCTCCCTCTGGAATCTTCTTCCTTCTCTCCGCCTTTCTGTCATGTTGCTGCCTAGCATGTCACTTCCTCCAGGAAGCCTCCCATCGACCCATTCTTTTGTCACTCCTCACACTGTGACATCCTTGATTGTGGCAGCAACATACACAATAGTTCTGTCCCACTCGGAGCCCACCCTCTGCATTGAATGGCTGTCTGGGTCTCCCCTTGCAAGCTGGCACACATGAAATATTGGCACAACCAAGTTTGGGTGGGGGGATGGATGGAAAGCTAGCAGTTTGGGCATAGAGCCTGCTGCCCACGTGGAGCCACGGCCAGCAGGGGTGGAACAGGGGTGTTTGGGACGCTGGCATCTCACCAGCCTGGCTGCCCTGCAGACAGACCCGGTGCGGCTGACCCAGCTGTACGAGCAGGCCCGCTGGGACCTGATGCTGGAAGAGATCGACTGCACCGAGGAGGAGATGATGGTGTTTGCCGCTCTGCAGGTGCCAGGCTCCCCAGGGGGCAGGGAACCCCATCTCCTGGGAGGCCCAGCAGGAGGGCCCTGGGAAGGGGGCGGGGGCAGGCAGGGCAGGTGTCTCAGCCTTCCCCTGCCATGCTCACCCACCTGCAGTACCACATCAACAAGCTGTCCCAGAGTGGGGAGACAGGTGAGCCTGGGGGCCCAGACCCCGGGCTGGATGACCTGGACGCGGCCCTGGACAGGCTGGAGGTGAAGCTGGAGGGCTCGGCGCCCACAGACGTGCTGGTGAGGAGCGGTCCAGCCAGGCAGGGATCGGAGTCGGGGCGCGGGTCTCTGCTTTCTCTCTGACCCCTCCCTGTACCCCCAGGACAGCCTCACCACCATCCCCGAGCTGAAGGACCACCTCCGGATATTCCGGTGAGGGTGGGCTCCAAGCTGACCAGGAGGGTCTGGGCTGGAGCCAGGCAGTGAGGGGCCCAGGGAGGGGGAGGCAGTGGCCTGGCACAGATCACCCAGCCTACCCGCAGGCCCCGGAAGCTGACCCTGAAGGGCTACCGCCAGCACTGGGTGGTGTTCAAAGAAACCACGCTGTCCTACTACAAAAGCCAGGACGAGGCCCCCGGGGAGCCTGTGCAGCAACTTAACCTCAAGGGTGAGTGCTTGAGGTCGCCCTGCCACAGCCAGGCTCCTCCCAGGCCCCAGGTGGCTGCGTGGGGCTGCTGTCCACACAGGCAGCGCCCAGCCCACCCACTGTGCTTCTTGTAGGCTGTGAGGTCGTCCCCGATGTCAACGTCTCCGGCCAGAAGTTCTGCATCAAACTCCTGGTGCCTTCGCCTGAGGGCATGAGCGAGATCTACCTGCGCTGCCAGGACGTAAGAGAAGCTTGCTGAGGGTCTGCCTGGGGCAGGGGCCAGGCCGCAGCTGGCTGACCACTCTCTCTCTTTTCTTGTGCCTGACCCAGGAGCAGCAGTATGCCCGCTGGATGGCCGGCTGCCGGCTGGCCTCCAAGGGCCGCACCATGGCAGACAGCAGCTATGCCAGTGAGGTGCAAGCCATCCTGGCCTTCCTCAGCCTGCAGCGGACAGGAGCTGGGGGCTCGGGCAACCACGCGCAAGGCCCTGATGCCTCCACTGAGGGCCTCAACCCCTACGGCCTTGTTGCCCCACGCTTCCAGCGCAAGTTCAAGCCCAAGCAGGTGCCAGCAGAAGTGGGGGGATGGGGATAACCACAGCATATTTACCTGGTCACCCTTAACCCCTGGGTCAACACACAGCCTTCCCCGGGAGAGCCAGGTGCTTTTGCTCCCTCCCCCACCTGTGTCTCTGAGCCTGGTCCCCATCCGCATGTTGCCCCTCTGGGTGTGGCTCAACCTGTGTTGGCTTCAGTGCTCCAAGGTGGGCACTGCCCCTCCCCGAGGCTCACCTTCCTGTCTCCCTGACAGAAGCAAGCAGCAGGGAGGGGGGAGGAGGGTCAGGCACCCCCTCACCGGCGTGGCCCTTGCAGCTCACCCCACGGATCCTGGAAGCCCACCAGAACGTAGCCCAGCTCTCACTGACGGAGGCCCAGCTGCGCTTCATCCAAGCCTGGCAGTCGCTGCCCGACTTCGGCATCTCCTACTTCACTGTCAGGTGCGCTCTCCAGCCCTGCCCACTGAGCGGGTCTCTGCCCTCACCTGCCTGAGGACCCCCATCCTGTCCCCCTTGGGCAGGCAGCCTCCAGCAAAGAGATGGGCGGGAGGGGGCTCAGGCCAGGAAGGTGCAAGACAAGCCCCTATGCCAGCTCTGCCACCCACAACCCCCTCCTTGGGCCCCGCTGGGCTGGGCTGTAAGACAGGGCTAATGAAGACAAGCCCACAGAGCTGAGCGAGGCCACGTGTGAGGATGACTGTTCTCTAAAGGCATGGACTGCAGGCCTGCTGCCACTCCATGCACTTTCAACGATTGCACCCGCTAACTGCCATGTTCCGGATGAGCACCTTGAGGCCCTCCCGACTCACCCAGGGAGGCTGAGCCGTGGAGCTGGGATGCAGGCAGCCGCTCTGACTCACGACCCTTTAATTGCTGCCCATGGGCCCGTGCGAGGTGCAGTCCTTGCTAATGCTCTGTCTCCCCCTTGGGACCAGGTTCAAGGGCAGCAGGAAAGATGAGATCCTGGGCATCGCCAACAACCGCCTGATCCGGATCGACCTGGCTGTGGGCGACGTGGTCAAGACCTGGCGCTTCAGCAACATGCGGCAGTGGAATGTCAACTGGGACATCCGGCAGGTGCGTGCCCACAGCGAGGGTGGGGACAGGGGACGGGCTGCCTTGGCCCTCTGTCTCCATGCAGCCCCTCTGCCGGGTCCTCCCCGCAGGTGGCCATTGAATTTGACGAGCACATCAACGTGGCCTTCAGCTGTGTGTCGGCCAGCTGCCGCATCGTTCACGAGTACATCGGCGGCTACATCTTCCTGTCCACCCGGGAGCGAGCCCGTGGGGAGGAACTGGACGAGGAGCTTTTCCTGCAGCTCACTGGGGGTCACGAGGCCTTCTAAGAGCAGCCCGCCCCATCTCGCCTCCCACCCTGCTTGCCACCTGCCACGGCCACAGCCACAAACAGGCCCACACCCACTAGGAACCACTGTCTCACGCCTTCTGCAGGCACACGCTGAGCTGGGCACATTCACCAGCTGTCACTGGTTTGGGGCAGAACAGGGTTGGTGGGACCCCTTGCCTGCCATGCCCAGGCAGGCAGACTCTTCCTGGGCCCGAGGTCAGCTCCCTGGCCTCTGTGCCCTCATGTACACGCCAGAAGGACCTGATGCTATAGCGCAGGGATGAGGAAACAGGGTTCCCCACTGAAGGAGTTTTGTTACTTTTTAAAGTTTTGTTTTGATCAATAAATATTTTTATTGTCAGTATTGTTGTCCACCTGGTCACCCTTCTTACTCTGGGGCTGTTGCGGAGGGTGTGGGGTCTGTGTCCCCAGCCAAGGAGAGGGGCTTTCCTGCGGCAGAGACAACCATTAGTGAGAGCGAGGAAGACCTATGGCAACCCGGGCAGAGGGCTAGGAAAGGGTTCAGGACAGACAGGGACAGACTTTGGGGACCCAGAAGGGAAGTGGGGAGCCCTCACGGGTGGGGCGGAGCTGCCACGCCTCCTTGAAGTACTTGGGAAGCAGGAAGCCATTGGCGTTGCCCGGCGTCAGGATCACACCATTGGCGGAGCGGAAGAATCGGATCCCGTCTGCCGGTCAGAGAGAGCCAGGGCTAAGGACCCGGGTCCTCCTGAAGGCCTGGGGTGGCGGCCACACCCTCTGTGTCCATACGCACCTGCCAGAGCTCGGGGACCGTCAATAAACACAGCCACTTCACAGCTGAGCCGCATGCCTGCGAGGACAATGGCAGCTGCAGCCCAGGGCTCCTGGGTCATCAAACACAGGCACAGGAATGCCCAGCTGCTGCCCATACAGGACATGCAAGGCTGCTGGGCAGGGGAGAGGGCCTGGGGCACAGATAGGGTCTGAGTGACTGAGCACGCCTCGGGGAGCACTGACCACTGACAACACCGGGGTCCCCAGGCAATCCTGAGGCCAGGTGGATGTGTGTCCTTCCCCGGCAGGACAGCCCTTGCAGCAGGATGGATGGCCAGTGCTTCCAGAAAGTTCCATGGACCAGCACCTGGGGCAGGGTCTGCGGTGTCTCCAGAGGCGTTAGCTCTAACTCTGGTACCTGAGATGGGCAGCAGTAAAGAAACGCCCCTGCCCCCCAAATGTCCCCAGGGGCTCCCCAACGTGGCGCCTGAGCCGCACCTGCAGTGAGTGGCCCTGATTGGCCCGGATGAGAGGACCACTCTTGGGGTCCCCTGGCTGCAGGGCGAAGCGCTGCTTCCCATTGGTGTCTACCACGCGCTGCACATCTTCAACCGAGAAGCCACGGAACTGTGTTAGCTGCAGGAGGGTGTCCAGCGGCACGAAGCCATCTGCCGGGGTGGGAGGTGCTTGGAAACTGGCCTTGCCCAGGTCTGGGCCAGTCACAGAGCGGGGAAGAGGTGGGTGGGATGGGGGAAGCCACAGGCAACAGAAGCAGTATGACCGAGCCTCAGTTCCCCCCAACTGACAGGGGAAGGGTATCTGCCCGGGCGGCCAGGGGCAGGGATGCTTGACACCACACCCAAGTCCTCCACTACTCCCCCCCAGGATGTGTCTATTGGACCAGCAGGGGTTGGCTAGGGCATCCTCAGGTCCAGCCCAGATGGACGCTTCTCCCAGTGGGCGTGACACAGGTCTTCTTGCCCTGGCAGAGGTGGGGCCATGGACAAGGGTGGGTAGGGGGGTTCACAGATCGGCTCACTGTGCTCCTCCTTGCTCCAGCTACCAAGACCCAAGACCCTCACTCACCAGGCCCCATGGGAAGCCCCAGCTTCAAGGCCCCATGGCGCAGGGCGTAGGACAAAGCCTTAGACAGCTGCACATCTCGGTCCTGGAAGAGCCCAGAGGTGGCCGCTCGTCTCCATGGCCACCCTGCCCTGCTGCCTGCCCAGAACACGGGGTGGCCCGTACAGCAGGAGTGCAGACAGAGGGGAATCCTCGTGGACTGCAGGCATGTTTAGACCCATAAGCCCCCTCCCCATCACCCAGACGTCAGGGGTCTCAGGGTCCCCAGGGTCTCCTCTGCTATCCTGCCAGGGCGGAGAGGGATGGGGCAGGGCTGGGCGGAGCGGGATGCGCACCTGTTCCCGGGGTCTGGGAGCCCTTCTACCCCGGGGCCCTGGAGCTTCCAGCCTCTTTCTTCCAGAGGAGTTCATGGCCAACAGCTGTGGGTAGCAGGGAGGCGGGGGGCTGCTTTAAGGACCCTCCCAGCCCCCTCTCGGGCCTCGGGATGTTAGTACTGAGGAGCTCAGCGTGCCTCGCCACCCGCAGTATCTGTGAGGGAAGCCAGCCTTGCCCGAGGTCACACTAGCAGTCATAAAGGCTGCAGGCTCGCAGATGTGCCCGCAAGGCAGGCCTGGCGCGCAGCAGAAGCCCAGGCGGGCCAACCGGGCGGAAGAGTCCAGGACCCAGGCCGCGACAGCGACGCGAGGGACGGGACTCCGAGACTCTCCAATGAGAAGCCGCGGGAGAAAGGGCGGGCACTTCCGCTTCGGAGAAGGGGTGGAACCTGCGGGAACAGTCGGCGGGTGAGTTCCGGTGCCAGGCGGGAGGCTGGAGGCGAGGGGGGCTGTCCCAGGGCAGGACCACGGGGTTCATGGGGCATGGCATTTGGGGGACCCAGGATGTCCACATGGTCGGTATGGCTGAGAGTCTTCTGACAGCAGGAGGCCCCGGGGCCAGCAGGGAACATAGGACACTAACTGGCCACGGAGTGGTCAGTGGGTGCAGGCGGGCTGGGTGCACCCCCAGGTGTGTAGCTCCAGCTCCTCTCCCCATTACAAGCCCTGCTGTGTCCTTCCCCAGAGCTGTCCCATCAAGACCATGGACCCCGAGGTGTCGCTGCTGCTTCAGTGTCCTGCAGGGGGGCTCACCCAGGAGCAGGTGCACGTGGAGCTGAGTCCAGCCCATGACCGTCGCCCCCTTCCAGCAGGCGACCAAGCCATTGCTGCTATCTGGGAGACACGGCTGCAGAGCCAGCCCTGGCTCTTCGATGCCCCCAAGTTCCGCCTGCACACTGCCACCCTGGTCCCTGCTGGCTCCCAGGGGCCCAAGCTGCTCCTACGCTTGGGCCTGACTTCCTACCGGGACTTCCTGGGCACCAACTGGGCCAGCTCAGCTGCCCAGTTGCGGCAGCAGGGCGCCGCTGACTGGGGGGACAAGCAAGCCTATCTGGCAGACCCACTGGGGGTGGGCGCTGCCCTGGTCACTGTTGATGACTGCCTGGTCTTCCTGCGCCGCTCACAGCAGGTAGCCGAGGCCCCTGGGCTGGTGGACGTGCCCGGTGGGCACCCTGAGCCTCAGGTGAGATACCCTCAGCTGGGCACAGAGAGCCGGGGGGGCGGGGCTGGAGCTCTGAACACCCCCAGCTTTGGTGCCCTTGTCCCTGGATGGCCCCTGCCCCCATGACAGTATGCCCCGAAACAGCCCTCTCCCTTTGGTGGGCTGGGTGCAGCTCCACGTGTACCTGCTCCCCACACTGCCCCTTGGCCTCCCTGGCCCTGGGCACACTGCTCTGTGCCCAGCCCAGGCTCTGCCCTTTGGGAGACCTGCCTGCAGGCTCAGCCGACACCTGTGAGGGTGAGAGATGACCAAGTGAAGATACCCCAGGCCTCATGGCTGGACCCACGACTGCCTCTGCAGGCGTTCAGGGGCAGCAAGTGGCAGTGGGATGGGGGGCAGGCAGGAGGAGCGGATAGGGGCTGAGCCTGACCCTCCACAGGCCCTGTGCCCCGGGGACAGTCCCCAGCATAAGGACCTCCCGGGAGAGCTGGTGGTACGCGAGCTGTTCTCCAGTGTCCTGCAGGAGATCTGCGATGAGGTGGGTGAGGAGGGCTGGGGAGCAGGGGGAAGGGAGAGGTCTGTGTTGGAGAGAGGGTCTGCCGCGCGTGGACCGGCCTTGAGGGTGGAGCTTAGATTGCTCTGGGCTTGTGACCTTTCACTCCCGTGTATCAGTGGAAGTGGTGTGGGGGGGTGACAATGTGTCAGTGCTCCCCAACTAGAGTCCTGGGATCTGGGGGTGCGATGGAGTGCGGGGGTACTGGCAGGGTGTGGCCACTAATAGGTGGGACCCCACTTTCCACCCTCACCCCAGGTGAACCTGCCACTGTCTACCCTGAGCCAGCCCCTGCTGCTGGGCATCGCTCGTAACGAGACCAGTGCTGGCAGGGCCAGTGCCGAGTTCTACGTCCAGTGAGTGGGCTCGCTCTGGGGGTACAGGGTTCCAGGGAGGTGTGGGGGTGGGGTCCCACCGGGATCGGGAACCCCCAGGCCACCACCACCCCGTGTCGGTGCAGGTGCAGTCTGACCTCAGAGCAGGTGCGGAAGCACTACCTAGGCGGGGGCCCCGAGGCCCACGAGTCTACAGGGATCATCTTTGTGGAGACACAGGTGCCTCGCCGGGGGTGGGGTGCTGGGCGTGGGGGGACCCCGGGGTGTCCGAGCCTTCTCCGCCGTCGCGGGGCTGCATATCCGCATCTGGCTGTGTCCTCCTCCAGAGTGTGTGGAGGCTGCGGGAGATGGAGCTGTGGGCCCAGCTCTGCCCCTCAGCCAAAGGCGCCATCCTGCTCTTCAACCGGTTCCGGGGGAGTCCCCAGCTCTGCCACCGCGGCTCGGAAGACAATAAAGGACTTTGTGCTTGAATTCTGTCGCGCATCTCCTCTGTCCCCCGGGCCTTCGTGGGGTGGGCGCCCAGCTCCAGGCCACGCCCACCCTGGACCTTGGCACCGGTGGGCGGATCCAAGGCCCCAGGGGCCAATAGGCGCTTGCGGGGGCGTGGCCCTCGCTGCACCTTGCTCGCGGTGGGCGTGCCCTGGGCGCATGAGCCAATGAAAATGCAGGGCAGTGCGCGAGTCGGAGCAGGAAATGGCGGAGTCGCCTAGCGCGGCGGGGGCGGGGCTTGTCCCGACTCCTGCTTGGCCCGCCCCCCGTAATTCCCGGGTGGGAACGGGGTGTCGCGGGGGGCTCCCCGGCAGGTGCGGCGGAGGCGGGCAGGGGACCCGGGCCCTACGCAGGGAGGCAGCTCTTCCTCCGCTGACCCCGGCCCGGCACCCATGCTCTCCCATCGGTGGCCTCCTTCCCCAGCTGTCCGCCCGGCGCCATGCCGCCCCTGTCGTCCCTGCTGTCCCTGCGCCTGGGTCGGCTGTGGCCCCGCAGCCCGCCCTCCCGGCTCCTCGGAGCGGCCGCGGGGCAGCGGTGAGTTGGGCGCCGGCGGGGGGCGGGCGGTCCGGCAGGTGCCGGATGGATTTGCACGGAGTGCGGGGAAAGCTGTGCGGGGAGGGCCCTCCTGCGGCCCCCAGCCACCCTCACCTCTGGAGAGCCCGATGGGGCCCTTGAGCTGGAGTGCTGGTCAAGCATTCAGAACCCGCGCGTGTGTGTGTGTGTGTGTGTGTGCCAGGTGCAAACATGCAGATTCCTGGACCGTGCAGGGGGGTGGTGCTGGAGGGGAAGAGGGCTCTTGGGAATCTGTTTTTCAGATTTTTTTTATTTGAAAGGGAGATTTATACAGAGAGAGAAAAGACCAAAGACCTTCCTTCTCCTAGTTCGCTCCCCAAATGGCCTCAACATTGAGAGCTGGGCCAGTCCAAAGCCAGAAACTGGGGCCATCTTCTGCTTTCCAGGGAGTTGGATAGGAAGCAGAGCAGCCGGGACTCAAACCGGTGCTTATATGGGATGCCAGCACTGACTGCAGGCAGCTTAACATATTGTGCCATAGCGTCAGCCCCCAGGAATCTGGTTTAAAACCAGCTTTCCACACGAGAGATCCTCTGAGGAGGCCTCCTCCAGGCGGCTGAGTCAAGGGGTGTGGCTCAGGGCATGGGGAGTGCTCTTCCAGAAGCAGAGGTGCTCACTTCTCCCGATAGGACCAGCCCCAGGAATTACTATGAGCTGCTGGGGGTGCATCCCAGCGCCAGTGCCAAAGACTTGAAACGCGCCTTTTTCATCAAATCTAAAGAGGTAGGAGTGTCCAAAAACTTAGGCAGAAGAGCCGAGCCGGGTGGGGGTGCCCCAGGGAGAGTGGGTAGGGTAGGTGGGAAGAGCTCCTGGGGGCAGGAGCCTGAGCCAGGCATCCAGCCTGAGGAGCTGGAGCTGGGTGAGCCAGCAGCTGGACACTGGGAGAGGTGGACAGGACCTGAGGTGGGGGAAGGGCCCTCTGGAGCGGGCAGACAGGCCTGTGGGGGAGGTGGGGGGAGCATGTCCCTGGCCAGTCATGGCTTTGGGGAGTGATGTGGGTGGACCCTGGGAAGGGAGGTGAGAGGAACCCCATTCCACCCAGCTGCACCCAGACAGAGACCCCGGAAACCCCACACTGCACAGCCGCTTCGTGGAACTGAGTGAAGCGTACCGCGTGCTGAGCCGAGAGCAGAGCCGCCGCGCCTACGACCAGCAGCTGCGCTCCGCCAGCCCCCCAAGGCCTCCAGGACAGGCAGCTGGGGCTGGTCCTACTTACCAAGCACACAGGTACCCGAGCCCAGCCCTCGCCTGCCTCCTCCTTCAAGTCCTTCTGAGGAGACTCACCCCCATTGCTGTCTCTTCCACAGCCCTTGGGAACCTCCCAACGCACGGTACTGGGCCCAGTTTCCCGGCATGAGGCCGCAGGGGCCTGGGGCGAGGCAGCAGCAGCGTAAACACAACCACCAGGTGCTGGGATACTGCCTCCTGCTCATGCTGGCTGGCATGGGCCTGCACTACGTCGCCTTCAGGTGCACCCTGAATGCCCCACAAAGGGCAAGCTGTGGGTTCCTAGAGGGAGATGGAATGGAGGGCAGGCCTTGAGGGCCAGCGCAGTTAACTGTGACCAACTGCCCGCCCACAGGAAGTTGGAGCAGGTGCACCGCAGCTTCATGGATGAAAAGGACCGGATCATCACTGCCATTTACAATGAGACGCGGGCCAGGGCCAGGTCTGTCCCTGTTCTCCTTGGCCCCCTTGCTGCCTGCCCTGGCACCAGCCTCCAGGGCCTGCCACTCAGGGGCTATCACCTCCAGGGCCAACAGAGCCAGGCTGCAGCAGGAGCGACTGCAGAGGCGGCAGTCAACATCCTCTGGACCTTCCCAAGGCCCTGGGATCGTGCCCGGCAGACCCTGAGGGCTCCCCTGGTGTGTCCACCGGACTCCGTCATGCGTGCAATAAAGTCATTCTCGGAGCTTGAGTTTGGCCCCCTCCTTTGGGCCCAGCGCCCCTTGCCTGGCTTCTGCACCGGGTAGCGTCCCGCCCTCTCGAGTGACCAGAGAGCCCGGCCCCCTGGGCGGTGCGTCCCCTTTCCCCTGCAGCGCCGGGAGGGGGGTGTGTGGAGGGGGCGGGCCCCACCAGCCGCCTCCCTCCCGCCTTCGCATCCCCCGCCCCCGCTCCGCCCCCGCCCCACTGCCCGGGGTGGGAAGCGCGTGGCTGGGTCACATGAGCCACCCGCCCGCCAGCCCGGGCCCGGCCCCCCGCCGTCCCCGCCACCGCTGTCCTAGGCCACCGCCACCGGCTGCCCGCCCGCCCCGCTGCTCCGGCGGCCACCGCCGCTGCGCTGCCTGCGCCCAGGGCTCGGGAGGGGGCCGCGGAGCAGCCGCCCCCCGCGCCCGGCCCCCGGCCGCCGCGCCAGGGCCTGCGCCATGGAGCTCTGGCGGCCGCCGCCCCCTGCGCCGCCGGGCTAGGGCAATGCGGGCGGCCCTGGCGCGCAGTCCCCGCAGGCACCATGAACCCCCTGCTCCGCCGCCTGCTGCTCGCTGCGCTCCTGCAGCTGGCCCCCGCCCAGGTATGTGCGCCCTCAACATCCCGTGCCCTTTCAAGGTTGACGGAAGTGAGGAGGCACCGAGCAGCCTCCACCAGGGGATCCACAGGGGGTCTGACCTCAAACTCCAGACTCCCAGGGGCCTTGGTCCGGGCACCCCCCTTGGGAGGTGCCTGTCCCCGCCTGCCTACCCGGCCCAGGGCCACTCCCCCACCCCACCCCTGCCGTGTCTGCTGGACCCAGGTCAGTCCCTGCTCTTCACCACCATGATCACCACGACCCACCTGGCGGACGCTCGGAGAGTGCACGTGGCACCGCTTGGGCCCGGCCAGGTCCCAGGTGGCTGGGAGAGAACTAGCAGGGCCAGAATGAAGCCCCAGCGTGAGAGCAACCTGGCCAAGTGTCACCTGGGGCCTGTGCCTTCCAAGTGCACCCGAATCCAGCCTTCTTCTCTCCCACAGGCCCCGGTTCCCCAGCCTGATGCCCCTGGGCACCCGAAGAAAGGTAATGGCGACCAGACCCTCACCACCCTTGGCTCCAACCGCCTCTGTGCAGTCACCACTCCACTAGAGGATGCAAACTTATTCTGCCCATTTCACAGAGGAGGCAGCTGAGGCCTAAGTGGATAAGCAGGGCAAGAGAAAGACAGCTTGGGGGAAGGGGCAGGGTGGTGTGGCTGTGACCCAGGGAACCCCGTGGGGACTTAACCTTTACCGGTCTGCCCATAGTGGTGTCCTGGATGGACGTGTATGCCCGTGCCACCTGCCAGCCGCGGGAAGTGGTGGTGCCCTTGACTGTGGAGGTCATGGGCACCGTGGCCAAACAGCTGGTGCCCAGCTGTGTGACCGTGCAGCGCTGCGGCGGCTGCTGCCCCGACGACGGTCTGGAGTGTGTGCCCACTGGGCAGCACCAAGTCCGAATGGAGGTACTGGCCAGGAGGGGCATGCTGGCCTGTGGGGTGGGATCGGGCCCATGGGCGTCCCCTTTCTCTCTCACACTCTGTCCTTGTTTTTCTCTGGAGCACAGATCCTCATGAGCCGCTACCTAAGCAGTCAGCTCGGCGAGATGTCCTTGGAGGAACATAGCCAGTGTGAATGCAGGTAGGTGCCAGGCTTAGCTTCTAAGATGACAGAGGCCGGACGTGGGGCGGCCACGCAGGGAGTCAGAGAAGCCTGGGACAAGGGGCCGGGGAGGAGAAGACTGGGCGAGTGTTAACAGCGCTGAGCTGTGACGCCGGCATCCTGTGTGAATACCGGCTAAGATTCCGGCTGCTCCAGTTCGCATCCAGCTCTCTGCTCATGGGGAGGCAGCCGCAGATGGTCCCAGTGCGTAGGCCTCTGCCATCCACCTGGGAGACCCGGATGGAGCTCCATGCTCCTGCCCTCACCTGGCCTTTGTGGCCATTTGGGGAGTGAACCAGTAGGTGGAAGCTCCCTGTCTCTGTAACTCTGCCTTTGAAATAAATAAAGCAGAGAGGGTGCAGAGGTTTCCTGATCCTGCGCCTCCATGTATATGTCTGCCTGTTAACTTTTCAGACCAAAAAAGAGGGAGAGTGCCGTGAAGCCAGACAGGTAAGGCTGGGCTGCTGCTGAGGTGGGCCGGGGGCAGGTGAGTGAGAGAGGCAGGTGTCAGCCCCTCCCCGGCCTTCTCCACCCTGCGTGCCCCTTCCCTGTTCCTCTGATCCCCAGCTCCAATTCCACCCCAGACATGTCGCTTCTCCTCCTAGGGCTGCCACGCCCCACCACCAGCCCAAGCCCCGCTCCATTCCGGGCTGGGACTCTGCCCCCGGAGCGCCCTCCCCAGCTGACACCACTCATCCCACTTCAGCCCCAGGCCTGTCTGCCCACGCTGCCCACAGCGCCGCCAGCGCCCTGACCCCCGGACCTGCAGCTGCCGCTGCCGACACCGCAGCTACCTCCGTTGCCAAGGGCGGGGCTTAGAGCTCAACCCAGACACCTGCAGGTGAGAAGTGTGCGTGTGTGGGTGTGTGTGCAGTAACGCTTTGGGGAAAGGCATCAGAGTCCTGTCCTGGAGGAGGTCCAGGGGGAGCCTGCCTAGGCAGAAGGCCGGGGAGGAGAAGCTACTGAATGTGTCGGACAAATATTTACCTAAGCGTCTGTGGGCACTGACAAGGATCACGAGGTATAAGGGAGTGCCACGTGCCTGAAACTTTCTACCTCATAACGTTCTCGGCTCCCACCAGAGGTTCCTGCAAGGAACCCCTGAGGGGTATTTGCGCCCCCTGCGGGCCCTGTTGGGGGCAGGAGAGGTGGGGGTAACACTTGTCCACCCCTGTCTTTCTCCCCTCCCAGCATCCCCTCGTGTGGGTCACCGGAAGTTCACAGGAGTGCGTCCAGTGGAGCTTGGGTCCAGCTCCCACTGGCACAAACTGACCCTTCCCTCTATCCTGCAGGTGCCGGAAGCTGCGAAGGTGACATACTGCGCTCCAGACTGAGTGGGGCTGCTGTCTCACAGGCCACTGGCAGTGGGGAAGAGGGAAGGCTGGGGCGAACACTCCTAGCCCAGCTGCCACTTGTCCTGGGTACATGCTGCTCCTCGAGGCCCCCTCTGGCCAGCCTCATCGCCCTGCAGCTGCCATCTAATGGGGCACACTGAGTAGGGTCAGGAGACCTGGAGGCAGCCAAGAGGGGTCACCACCAGTTTAGGGGAGCATGGGGTGCCGGGCAAACATCTCCTGCATCTCTTTATCTGCCAACCGTGGCATTTGGGCTTTGCTATGAAAACTGTGACCTCCCCCCACATCCCCTGCCCCTGATAAAAGATGAGAGAGAAGCCATTCTGGCCTGTGTGTCACTCTGTGTCAACATCCACAGCCGCTGGCCTGGGAGCCAGGGTCCACTGCCCAACCCCAGAGCTCGTGTCATCGGCCCCGTTGTTGTCTGCTCTCCTGGGGGCCAATGGGGCCAGAGTTATGGCTCCACCACAGCCCATCACAGCTGGGCAAGTCCCTCCCACCGCGCATCCCAGGGCTTCCTGCCTGGAAGCAGGCGGCCTGCCACAGCCGAGGAGCCCGAGCCTGAACCCACATTTGTTCTCAGAACCGCCACCTTTCTGAGCTGCGGCTTGCATGTGCTCCGGTCAAAGTCTGGTCAGGCTGCTGCCACAGGGCCATCCAGGTCTGTCTGCACGCCAGGGGAAGGACCAGCTGTTCTGGCTGGGCTGCACCTGCAACTAGCAAAGGTGGGCAGCAGCTGCCCTCGTCCCAGCCCACACGCAGTCCATCCAACCGGCACAGGTTCATGCCCACACCTCTGGGCTGAACCCAAGGGAGCTTGGCCCGCTGTGCCCATTTGTCCTGGGGGCCAGGATGTCCAGGCGCACCCTAACGGTGTTGGAAAGCTGCAGGGGGTTTCACAGTGGCCATGACCTTGGCAGACCCAGGGCAGGCACAAGGTACAAGCTAGAGACCCATCCTGAATGCTTTCTGCTTCCAGGTCACTTTCCCAGCCATGAGGTTACGGCTGGTGACACATGCTCACTAGAGCAGCACAGACGAGGGCTTGGGCCACGCACCTCACCCTTGAGTCCATCCGGCCCTGCCAGGACTTGCACCTGCTCGCCCCATCTTCAGCCTGGAGGGTCTCCCTCCAACCGGGCCTGGCTGCCTCAGTAGCAAGTTCATTAGATTCACCAATGGGCACTGGGGCCAAGAAACAGACAGCGGGCAAAGGGCCTGGCCCTGCGGGAGGTCGAGGTGATGGGGGACAGGGCAGAGAGGGAAGGCGCAGCTCGGGCCTGGCGCTTGCACGTCTCCTGGGGCCCCGTGGGGGAGGCCTCCAACAAGCCCACGTGGGACGCGAAATTCGGACCAAGGTCACGCAGCACTAAGGTTGAGTGGCAACTCAAGCCTCCGTCGGCTCTTCCCACTAACATGAACAGGCCAAAGGAGGTAGGGCCCGTGAGGGGAGCGACAGTAACAGAAAGCGGCCACTCCAGCAGGCTTGACCTTATTAAGGACTTATCGTCGGCCTTTGGAGAACTCAACTTTCCCGGAACCTGACGGGCTGCAGCTTGGCCGGAAGTGACGCACTGGTCACGCGAAGGGCGGGCCGGGGGCGGGGCAAGGGCCGAGGCTCCGCCCGCGGGCGGCTGGCGGCGGGTTTCGCAGGGGCCAATGAGGGAGGGCGGCGTGGCCCGGCCGGGCAGCGACGGGGACGCGCCTGCGCAGAGGCGACCGCACGACCAGGGCGGACTCCGGGGGCGCGGCGAGGAGGTGAGCGGGGGCCACAGCCCGGGCTGCGGGAGCCGGGCGGTGCTGGCGGGCAGCCGCGGGCCGGGGCGCCGAGTGTCCACGAGGGATAGGTGACGCGGGTGGGGGTGGGGGCTGCCGGGGATGCCGCATGGGGAGGGCGCTCACGCCGCCGCACGGGGCGGAGCTCTGGGCCTCGGAGCGGGAAGTGGGCCGGGAAAGGGCGGGGCTCGGCGGGTGGGGGCGGGGCTAGCCCTGTCAGGAGGCGGGGCTTCCCTCCTGGAGGAGGAGCTGTTGCCGGTGGGAGGTGGAGCCTCGGATTTGGAGCTTGAGGGGGGCGGAGGCCAGGCCCCGGGGGCGGGGCTTCAGCTAGTGAGTGGCGGATCTGCTCCTGGGGGAGGCGGGGCTCGGCATTTGGGGGCGGGGCTAACGCTGCTAGTGGGCGGGTCCTCCCTCCTGGAGGAGGAGGAGCTGCAGCCGGCGGGAGGTGGAACCTCGGATTTGGAGCTTGAGGGGGGCGGGGCCCAGGCTCCAGGGGCGGGGCCTCAGCCGGTGAGTGGCGGGTCTGGTCCTGCGGAGGGCGGGGCTATAGGGCCGGGAGCAGGACTGGGTACCCTAAAGGGCGGAGTCAAGGAGACGGGCGAAGGGCTGGGCGTGGGTAATGGCCGGGGGCGTCCACGCGGAGGCGGTCTCCGCGGTGGTCGCGCTTGGGGCCGCGGTCGGCCGAGCACTCCTCCAGGAGAGGTGGTATGGGTGGAGCGGGCCCGGCGGCCGGCCGACTCGGGGCCGGTCTGGGTGCCTCGGAGACCCCCAAGGGCTCAGAGCTGGGGCGGCGCCCCAGGTGGAGGAGCAGGGTCGGCCTGGGGGGTACCGCAGGAGGACCGCCGCTCCCCGGAGCCACCCAGCGGCGACGTGTGGGTGCCTCGGGGCCGACCCCCTGCAGCAGCCGCTGAGGTGTGGGTGTGTTGGGCCGGGGGCAGCTGGGTGTGGCGGGAGTGGGGCCGCCCTGCCCGGGAAGCTGCTGTGCAGCCAGATCGGGTGTGGACCTTGCGGAAAGGGACTGGTGGGAACTGACAGGAGGTGGGGCCCGGGAGGGAGGGAAGATCTAGGAGTGACCCCAGGGGCGGGGCTCTGGCTGCTGTGGCCCCCCCTGCCCCCCTGCCCCTGCCGTCCTCAGGCAAGCCCCCTTCTCACTGGACTGGTAAGTGTGGTGTGTGGAGCCGGTGGGAGAGGGCAAGGTACCATGGGGGTGTGACACGCTGCGGACCAGCACGTGTCCCACCCCCTCCTGCCGGCCGGCGGGGCACCTGTACCCACAGAGACATGAAACTGAGCTGGGTGCTGGCAGTTGTGTCCGTCTGCCTGGGTGCTCTGGCCACGGCCACGGCGGCCGAAGGCAAACGCAAGCTGCAGATCGGGGTCAAGAAGCGCGTGGACCACTGTCCCATTAAGTCGCGGAAAGGCGACGTGCTGCACATGCACTACACGGTGGGTGAGGGGACAGGCCATGGGTCAGCCCAAGTCCCCTTTCCCTTCTAAGCCAGTTTCCATGTTCCTGCCCTGTCACTGCCCTGCTCCTTGGAGAACTGAGCTGGGAGGGGGCTGCCTCCTCACTGGCCTTCCCGTGTCCTCCCACCCCCAGGGGAAGCTGGAGGATGGGACGGAGTTTGACAGCAGCCTGCCCCAGAACCAGCCCTTCGTCTTCTCCCTGGGCACCGGCCAGGTCATCAAGGGCTGGGACCAGGGGCTGCTAGGGTGAGTACCAGTCAGCAGGTAAGCTGTGGGTGGCAGGTCCCCAGGGAGAGGGGTCTGTGCGGCCACATGCTAAACATGATTTGTTCCACAGGATGTGTGAGGGGGAGAAGCGGAAGTTGGTGATCCCCTCGGAGCTGGGTAAGAGGCCCTTCTGTGAGGGTGGGGATAGGGGGATGGAGGGCGTCTGATGAGGCCGCCTCGGCCCACCACCCCGGCCCGCACCCTCACTCATCCATTATGGCCGGGAGCTCTGCCGAGGCAGGCTGTGTCCCGCAGTCCTACGGGGCTGTAGAGCCCGCACAGTGCCACTGTCCCCTCGCCATCCTCTCCATTTCCACCCCACTGTGGGGGGCCCTACAGCTCACGTTGTTCTTTGTGCATCTTCCACAGGGTACGGGGAGCGGGGAGCCCCTCCCAAGATCCCAGGTAAGGCAGCTTTCTCCCCCTCTCCTCCCGTGCCACACAGTCCCTCTCCCCCGTCCCTGCGGCTAATCAGGCACTGCCCCTTGCTGGCCCTACAGGGGGTGCGACCCTGGTGTTCGAGGTGGAACTGCTCAAGATCGAGCGGCGGGCGGAGCTGTAGCAGGACCGACAGGGCGGACTGGGGGAGAGGGACTAACAGGGACCAGACTGGTGAAGAAAAACAAAAACAAACAAAAAAAAACCCTTGAAACCTCCAGGAGTGAGCCTGTGTGTGCATGTCTGCGACCCCTGGGGGGCTGTCCCAGTCCTGCTCCCAGCTCCCCAGCACACTGGCTGGCCTGGTCTGGGAGCTGTCACCATGGGGACACAGCCCCTGGAAGGCCCAAGGGGGCACCTTGGGAGAAGCACTGTGCCGCCCCTCTTCCCCCAGAGACCAGCCGAGCCAAGCCACACCAAAGGCATACCCTAGGCTTTATTGAAGGGGCCGCGCCGCAGAGTCAATATAAAAACACAAAAAGTCCCATTAGCTTAATAACAATAAAAAACCCCCAAAATGGAAAACTGAGGGATCAGGAGGAGGCCCCTGGGGCAGGGGCCCAGGGAGCCCCACTCCGGCACCAGGCCTGGCCGCAGGGTCCCCGGTATTGCTGTTGCTACGAGGTCGGGGGCAGCGATTGTCCTGTGGGAGCCACTGTTTGTCACGCAGCTCAGGGACCCTCACTTCTTCTGGGGTGTGCTCAGCTTCTGCATGCCTCGGATCTTGTCCAGCAGGCCAGAGATGAAGGCCTAGATGGGAGGGGGCTGCCTTAGCCAGAACGGACCCCTCCCTGACCCCTCCCGGCCCCCCGGGGAAGCTGCTCACCTCCGTGGGTTTGTAACAGTCAACCAGCAGCTCCTGGTGGGGAGGATGGAGAAGCCAGCCATGAGTGCCCAGGCACCACCTCCGGGCAGGCCTCCCGCTCACCCACAGGGCCCCGCCTCTCACCTTGACCCTGGCAGCCCGGGCTTCGTCGCTTTCCATGTCCAGGAGCTCATCCACGTCGATCTCCAGCTCCGGGATCTCCTCTTCCTGGGTGGGGAGACACGGGTCTGAGCTGGGAGCAGGGTGGGAGAGGGGCTCCCAGGGTGCAGTCCCTGCCTGCCCTGGGAGCAGCCCAGCCGTCTCGGCGGGCAGACAGCGGCAGCTGCTCGGAAAAGGAAAACAGACCAGGCCTGTGCCAAGGCAAATTGCCCAGTTGGGGGGGTGAGCTTCCTGTCCCTGCCAGTGGGCAACCCAGGGTGCCAGACGGCCGGGCCTGGGGACCTCAGACCACAGACCCGGCGGATGTGTCTTCCCAGCATCCGGACCCCCCCCCCAGCAGAGCAACGCTGGGTCCAGCTGTCCCCACTCATCACAGCCCCGTCCCCTCCCCCAAACACCTGTCGTGGCTTCCTGGGAGTGAGGAGGAAGGGCAGGGTGAGGGGTCAGCGGGAAGGAGCCAGGGCTGCAGCAAAGCAGACAAAGAGCCCATGCTGAGCTGAGGGAGGGGGCGCCCGCCCCCCAGGAAGCAACCAGCCCCTCCAGAGGCAGCTGCTTCAGGGCCGGGCCTGGGTATGCAATGCCGGCAACCCCACTCCTCCACCCTGCCTCCAGGGGCCTGAATCACCCTGTGAGCAAGCAGGGAGTCATGGGGTGGAGACCCAGGGCCCCGAAAAGGCCAAGATGCCGCTCCAGGATGGCCCGGCACACCCCTCCTCCCCACGCGCACAGGCTGCGAGGGGATTTTGAACCGGGGTCCTCAGCCCCGCCGCCCTAGCCGGTCAGACCTCCGGCCAGTGCCGGTCCAGGACAGTCCCTGCCTTCTGCCCAAGGGCGGAGGCCACCAAGTGTGACCTGGGAGGTGGCAGGAGGGGCCAGGGCCGGGGCGAGCAGTGACTCGGGTGACCTAGGTGAGACAACGGCGCGCAGGCCGGGGGGCGGGGAGCGCACAGAAGCGGGGCGCCCGACGACTCCGGTGACAGGCAGGTTGGCCGCGGGGTCCCCGGGGTGCGGCGGCTGGGACGGATCCCAGGGGCCAGGCGCGGGGTAGGGAACGCACCTGGCAGTCGTAAAGGCGCGTGAGCTGCTCCAGGATCCACTCCTCCAGGTTGAGGCGCTTCCGGAGCTCCTTACGGTCGTACTTGACGGTGACCTTTCCTTGGCGCCTCACGGGGCCCTCGTCGTCCGCGCCTCCCGGGCCCTCGCCCGCGGCCCCAGGGGGGCTCTGGAAGTACACGCGGGGCCCTGGGCCGCCGCTGCCCGGTCCCGGGGCCGGAGCCGCCAACGCCGCGCCCCCCGCGGGGCCGCTGTCCGCCATGGCGGCGGCCGGGGCCACGTGCGCGCGCGCCGGGCCCCTCCCTGCGCCGCCGCCTCCCGGACGCCCGCCGGCTGGCTCCGGGCCACTGGCTCGGGGTGAGAGCTCGCGGGCTCGGCTCCGCGCGGCTCCACGGCTCGGGCGGCGGCGGGGGCGCCCGGGGGCAGCTGCAGCATGCGGAACCCCCGGGCCTGGCCTGGCCGCGCCCCGCCCCCTCCCGCCGATCCGCCCGCCCTTTGTCCCCCGCGGCCGCCGCCCGAGCCGCCGCCGCCGCCGAAGCCGCTTTCTCTGTCTCGCTTTCTTCCTCCGCCCCTCGACCACACCCCCTTAAAGGGCCAGCCCCGCCGCCAGCCCCTCACCCCCACTCCTCTCCCCAGGCCGGAGCCAGGGGAGGGGTCTGGGCGGCGGGGTTTGGGGCTTGTTAGTCGGTGTGTCCTCACAGTCCCCGCAAGACTGACACTCGCAATGCCCGGGACGAGGGATTTGCGGTTCCGGCGGACGCTAGTCCTCCTGGGTCAGCCTGGTCAGCCTCCTTCCACCCTCATTGAAGCAGACCAAGGAGCCACTTGCTATGAAGTGGGGTGGGCGCTGAATGCAGACCCGGGGTTCGCTGGGGCCAGGAGGACCCCGGATGGACCGCTGGCCCTTGGTCAGCGACACGTGGACCTGGCTCCCGGGGATGGACAGGAGAATAGGGGCAGGAGCTGCTCGGGTGCCCCGACGCCCTACTTGTTGGGGGTTTTACGCCCCCACCCCCCAGACCTCTCCACCCCACCCAGGTGGAGAACGGGGAGTCGGCCAGCTGGGCTTCCAGCGCCAGACCCGCGGCGGCCACCGCCCACCGGCCAAGATGGCTGAGCGGAGCGGAATTGTGGGCAATGTAGTTCGGCGGTGTGGCCCCGCGGAGCACCCAGGAGCCTTGGGGCGCCAACTTGTTTGGGGGCGCCCTCCTTGGGTCAACCCCTGCCCTTCCTCCCAGTCCTCATCCTCCTTTCGCGTCCACCAAGGAGCGAAGGGCCGGAACGCGGAGGGGCTGTATACGCAGGCACTCCCACTCCTGGGGCGCCCTCCAGTGAACCCCTGCTAGGTTGGCTCCCGCGCGGGGCTCCTCTGTCCTTCCCAGTTTGCTCACCTCTCCCAGTCGATGGCGCATCCTGCGGGCCCACGGGTGTACGGCCAGTGGCCGAGTCCTGCTCCCTCAGCAAGTGGAACAGATGTCAAAGTGAAGAAACGCGCTGCTTCCCCTGCGCCTCTGTCTGCCGAGAGCGGCGGAGAAGATGAAACTGGAGAAAGTGTGCAGAGTTGGATCTCTTAAGCCACAGGGGTGAAGCCGCATGGCTGGACAGGGGAAGCTGGGATTTGAACACCAGTCCCTGTGGCTCAAAACCGGATGCCTGCTCCCCCCCCCCCTTGCCTGCTCTGGGGTGCACTCTCTCACACACACATGCAGGTTCACCCTGGTCCAGGGACTGAGAGGCTGTTTTGGCTCCAGCCCCTCACAGACATTGCGCATACCACCTCTGGACGCTGGACAGGGAAGCCCCGGGCAGCAGGTGGGATGGAGGAAGGGGCTGGTCTGTGGGCAGGTTTGTGTCGTTGCTGCCGCAGCCAGACAGGAAGGCCTGGCTTCCCGCTTCTCCTTTGCTCTGCGGTTGGGGAGAAGAGAGGAAAAGAAGACAGGTGGCCTGCAGTGAGTGAGTGAGTGTGTGTGTGAGTGAGTGTGTGTGTGAGTGAGTGAGTGTGTGAGTGAGTGAGTGTGTGTGTGAGTGAGTGAGTGTGTGTGAGTGAGTGTGTGTGTGTGTGTGTGTGTGTGTGATGGCTGAATCCCCTACCACACCCACTTCATCCCACTGGGGTAGGGCAGTGCTTGCAGAATCCGCACAGTGGCACTTGCGGGTGCTCACGGTTTAGAGGGGGCACCCTTGGAGCCCCCTGAAGGCTCAGTACCTGATGGCAGTGGAGCCCTGACGCCCCAGACACACACACACCCCTGCGAGGTGCGGTGACCTTGAGCCTGAACCACCCTCCTATCCCTGTTGCTCTGCTCAGGGTGGGTGTGGCCCCCCATGGTTCCCTCTGGGGTGCTGTCCAATGGGCCTGCTGGCCTGCAGCCTCCCGGACATTGCATAGCCCTGCCTTGTTCCATGGAGTGCAACAAATGGGTTCAACTCTCAGCTCTGCCCTGGAAGCTGAGAGACCCTGGGTAAATCCCTCACCTCCCAGGGGCCTCCTGATCAGGGGGCTTCTAGAAGGTCTTCATTGCCCTTCTCTTCACAGTGTCAGGGTCCCAGGTCCCGTGACAGCAGCCCTCCTGGCACTGGATAGTGTTGCCGCTCCAGCTGCCTCCCTCCCACCAAAGTGCGGCCAGGGCCACGGCAGGTGCAGGGAGAGGACCCCAGGGGCGGGGGTGGAGGGGAGGGCAGCACCACTCCATTAATGCAGGCCGGATGGGCCGCCTGCCTTCCACCATTCCCTCTGCCGAGAAGCCCTATTACCACAGCCGAGGCTGCAGGAAGGCATCCGCTAATGGGGGCTCCCTAGCCTCCAGGGACCAGCAGGCAGGGTGAGCAGAAGAGGCCCAGGCTTCCCTCAGCCCTCCCACCAAGGAACGGCTGCCCAGTCCCCCTGCAGGAGGCCCCGGCAGGCAGCCCCATCCTGTGGCCTTGGGGCCTTCCTCCTGCAAAGACCCCTATCGGTGGCCATGTCCTCCCAGCTTGGAGCCGGTGACCGAGTCACAGAGCCACTCATCGGGCTGCGCCACCATCAGCTGTCCACAGAACCAAGCTCTGCGTCTGCCCTGCGTCCTCCGGGAGAGGCCCCGTGGACTCTCAGCAGCCCCTCAGTCACGAGTCTGTGGGTTGAAATCCTGCCCATGAGAGCTGTGGGACCTTGGGCAAGTCCCTTGCCCTCCTGATTGTCCTCTAGAGATGATGTTGGGCAGGCTTAGGGTTGGCGACCTGCGCAGTGGGAGCTCAGGGGAAGGTCAGTGTCAGGCAGGGCTCACCCCCAGAGGTGGGATGTCTGGGAGCCTGGGGCAAGGGGCTCTGCCAGGGCCCTGGTACCTGGCTGACCCCTCCTCCCCCCAGAGCTAGCTCCGGCTCTTTCTGGGTTTCTAGGTGACTTGGCTGGCCCCTCTGGGTGAGTTCTACTTTCAACCTGCTGCTGCCAGTCTGTGGATTGGGGGGGCTCCCACAGGGGCCCCCAGGCAGGAGCCCCCCCAGCCGAGCCCTGCGGGAGGGGCTGCAGCCCTCCCCTCCCAGTGTCTATGCGGCTGCTCCTCCTCCTAGGTCTGGGACACAGATTTCAGGGCCAGTCACTGCAGAGCCCCAACTGCCCCCTTTGGGAATACCCCCAAGGCTGTGACCGCTGTGGGGGGCAGACCGCCAGCCTTCTCTCGGCCAATAAGGCCAGGCTCCGGTTTGGGGGGGTGGGCGGGGTGGGATCTATGCCACAAGAAAGGGACTGTTCCACGCTGTTGCGTCTGGAAGGCCAGGATGCCTGGGTCCTCAAACGAGGGGGCAGGTGCCGGGCGCAGAGGGATGGGGTTGGGGAGGGTGCGCGCCCGCGGGAGGCCCATTAGCCTGCTAAGTGCTCCAGGGAGGGGGCGCAGCTGCAGGAGGGCACCCAGAGGGGTGGGAGTGGCTTTTTCTGCACTTAGCCAGGACCCGCAGGGCCGGGGCGCTGCCCGCCACTAGACCCTACTCGGCTCGGAAGCGTCCCTCCTGGGGCACCGCCAGTAGCCACCCCCACCTCTCGTCTCCAGCGCCTTCCCTGCTCGGCTGGCGCCAGGGATCCCCTCTTGCCGAGCCCCCGCCACGACCGGCCCCCCGCAGCCCGTTGCCTCCAGCCCCGCTCTGGCCGCCGTCACCGCCCCGGCCGCCAGGGGGCGCCGGCGCGGCGGGGGCGGGGTCTGCGGGGCCCCGCCCCTGGCCCGCCCCGCCCGGGCCCCGCCGAGGCTCCGGTCGGTCCGGGACAGACGGGCGGCCGGGCGGCCGGGCGCTGACGCCGCGGGGCCGGAGCGGGCCGCGCGCACGGAGCAGCGGCGCCGTCGGTCCCCGTCGGGGGCTCCGTGCGTCCCCGGCCCGCCCCTGGCCCGGCCATGGCGGGCGCCAGGCCCGGCGTGCACGCGCTGCAGCTGGAGCCGCCCACCGTGGTGGAGACCCTGCGGCGCGGGAGTAAGTTCATCAAATGGGACGAGGTAAGCCGCCGCGGGCCCCTGCTCCGCCCCGATCCGGGGGCTCCTGGGCTGGGGCTCGGGACCCCCACTGCAGCCTCGGCGGACTGCAGCGGCCCCATCGCAGCCTGGTCGCACTCCGGAAACTGAGTCCCCAACTGTCCCCCATGATGAAGACTTTGTCTACCCCTCTTCTCCGGGTCCCTCAGCTCTGTGGAAAAATTTGGCCCTCCACTCTTGGGCGCCGGAGACTCCAAACCCCAATAAATACTGCCCTCCCCTTCACTGGCTTCTCACTCCTTCCTGTCAGACGAATTCTGGGTTCTCGGGGCTCAGCCTGACCCGCCAGAACATTGCCCGGCCCCGGCCCACCCCACACCGTGGTTGGAGGACCCCGACCCTTCCCAGTGCGCCCCAGGACACCCTCGTCCCGAGTGGGTGCCGCTGGGACCCCACTCTTGCCGAGGTCCGGCTCCATTCATCACTTTCCCACACTGTCTGGGCAGGCCCCCGCGTGCAGCTCTCCTTGCTACGGGTGGGAGCCCCAAGTCACCTCCTCCTGGAGACTTTGCCACCCCACCCCCAACTCCATCCAGCCCTGGGAACTTTGCTCCCCACTCCTTAGCCTGGGAACTTTGAACCCCCATCAATCCTGGCCCTCCTTTTCCTGCTTGGGGCCGTTTGTGGCGCCTGCGGGGCGCGGGGAGCCCACCTGCGCTCCCCATCCGCCGCCCCCTCCCGCCGGACTCCCGGGCCCCTCCTCCCCGGGCCGCCGCCCCGCCGGCCTGGGCTTCCTCGCCGGCTCCTTCCCAGTCAGGCCACAGGCCTGGAAGACCGGGCTCCTTTCCGGCTGGGTGGGGCGGGGAGGCGTGGGAGCTGGGGGAGGGGCTGGGGGCGTGGCCCGGGCAGCAGGTGTGCGGGCGCGGGGTGCCAGGCACTGGGGGGGCTGCCGGGGAGACCCCTCCCGTGAGGCGGGCCAGAAGGGAGAAGCTGCTTCTTTGCCTCCAGTCTGATAAACCCAAATAAGGAAGTGGGAGCAGGGAGAAAACCCTGCGGAGGGGTAAGGGGGTGCTGTCCTGGGATTGGGGTGCCGGGCTGCCGACCTGGGCGGTCTTGGAAGGCCAAGACCCTTGGGAAAGGGTTGGGAAGGGCTCGGACGGTTAAGGGGGTACCCTCAGAACTCCAGCTGCACACACTAGTGGGGGCTTCAGCTATAGGGAACATTTGGCAGTTTGAATGGGGGGGCTGGTGTGAGATGTCAGCAGCGAGCGGTGGGGGACCCATGGATCCCCCAAGCCCCAGGCCTCCTGTGCCTTCTGTCCCCAGATCCATGCAGTTTGTAAGCAGGGACTGGGCGGGGCTGGCATCATCCCCAGTTGGAGGGTAAGGAAAGTGAGGTTGGAGAGTGGTGGGTGCCCTGGCCCTAAGCCCCCTCCCCTGTCCCTGCTGCCCCCGCTGTGGACTACAGTGACCAGGAGCCGGGAGCCCTGAGGGGGTCCCGATCCGCTGGGTCCTAGTAGCTGCCTGCAAATTCTGGCTCCTTCTGTTGACCTGTGAGCCAGCTTGCTCACCTGTCAGGTGCACACAGTAGGGTGGCCCGGGCATGAGCCGGGGCGAGGGGAACAAAGGGGTGGCACCTGCTGGGTGAGTTGTGTCCTCTTCGGGAGACTGGTACGGGGGGGGGGGTACTTGGCCACTTAGGTCCCGACCGACTCCTTGCTGTTGGCTGCTGGGCCTCAGTCACGTGGGGGACCGTGGAGTGTCCCAGGGACTCCAAATGGGGCCGAGATGTGCCTCCCTGCCCCCCATCCACTGCTCACCACAGGGCCTGGGTGCCGGGAGACCGAGCTCCCGGCGCAGTTCTGAGGGCGTGGGTGGGCACGAATGTCCCTCTCCGGGGCTCCCACCTGAGCCTGGCAGGGGCAGGGTGGCAGCTTCAGGGCCCTGGCTGGTCAATATGGGCTCCCGAGGGAATAGGCAGCCGGCGGGCTGAGGCTTTGCAGTGTTGAGCTTCCATCCCAGCCTGTGTCCCAGGGGGGCTGAACTGCGTGGGGGGAGGTCACTAGAGCGGGGGTGGGGGAGTGGGGTCATGGGATCCTTGGGCCTTCGAGGTTGCAAAGCCCAGAACAGGGCGCTGGGGGAGGAAGTGGGTTGGATTTTCCAGGTGAAGGGGAAGGGAGGTGAGGAAAGGCGACTGGGTAGCCCAAGTGGCTGAGCTTCAGGCTTTGGGGGGACCACACCCCCTGATCCTTGTGCGGTGCTTTCCCCAGGAGGCCTCCAGTCGGAACCTGGTGACCTTGCGCGTGGACCCCAATGGCTTCTTCTTGTACTGGACAGGACCCAACATGGTGAGGGCTGGTGCCCCAGCAGCTCTCGTGGGCCAAGGGCCCCCTGCCCCAGGCCACGCCCTGCCCCAGGGTAGGGGTGGGACCCGGCCGTTGGCTGACCTCTCCCACGGCTCCCCAGACAGGAAGTGCTGAGGGCGGGGGCTCAGGCTGGGGCAAAGGCCAGGCCAGGAGGTGGCCACGCCCTGGCTGGGGCATGGGGAGCTTGCAGCAGGATTCCTCGCTCCCTCCCTGTAACCTCTCGGACACAGCGTGACATCTGGTTCCCTAGGAGGTTGACACGTTGGACATCAGTTCCATCAGGGACACGCGGACGGGCCGTTATGCCCGCCTGCCCAAGGTGAGTGAGAACTGGTGACAGTCTGGAGCACACCAGGCTGGGGTGGGGGGGGCCAGCACACACCCATCCTCACCCTCGGCCCTCCCCTCCCCAGGACCCCAAGATCCGGGAGGTGCTGGGCTTCGGGGGCCCCGATGTCCGGCTGGAGGAGAAGCTCATGACGGTCGTGGCGGGGCCAGACCCGGTGAACACCACGTTCTTGAATTTCATGGCTGTACAGGATGACACTGCCAAGGTGAGGCGAGCTGGTGGGCTTGCCCCCAGGGTCTGGGCCGACAGCTGAACCTGCAGCCCCTGCCATCCGCCCACCCTTCCCTGTGCATGCTGCCCCCCAGGTGTGGTCGGAGGAGCTGTTCAAGTTGGCCATGAACATCCTGGCTCAGAACGCCTCGCGGAACACTTTCCTACGCAAAGCGTGAGCCCCTGCTCCCGGTGTGGCAGCGGGAGGGGGTTCAGGGGACTGTCCCCAGGGTGACCCTTCTGCCTGCTGCCTCCACTCCCAGATACACGAAGCTGAAGCTGCAGGTCAACCAGGATGGACGGATTCCGGTCAAAAAGTAACCAATCCTGCTCCCTTCCCCCACTCTTGGTGAGCCCCCATCCTGTGCAGACCCTGACCCCTCCTCTCCCTCCTTCCCCTGCTGCCCACCACAGCATCCTGAAGATGTTTTCTGCGGACAAGAAGCGGGTGGAGACTGCGCTGGAATCCTGTGGCCTCAATTTCAACCGGGTGGGTGGGGCAGCATGGTGGGCACCCCCCTCTGCCCCCTATCTCTGCATCCCTGCTCCCGGGCTGCCCGTGGCTGGGTTCTTATCCCCACACGCCTTGGCCCTCAGAGTGAGTCCATCCGGCCTGATGAGTTTTCCTTGGAAATCTTTGAGCGCTTCCTGAACAAGCTGTGTCTACGGCCAGATATCGACAAGATCCTGCTGGAGATGTGAGCTGGGCCGGGTCTCTCCCAGCTCTGCGTGGTCCCCCTGGGGCGGGGCGGCCCTCGGGGCTGGTCGCAGGGCGCCTGGCAGGGACGGGGAGTGGGGGAGGCCTGGCTGCTTTGGTTTGGGTTTAATCAGCCATCGTGGCAGGGCCACGGGTTCGGGGGCCTCCATCCTGCCCCAGCCGCTCCTGGTGTCAGGAGAGCAGATGGCCCAGGGAGGGGGGTGACCAGTAGCCCTGGGTCGCACATGAGTGGGTGCTGGAACTTGTCTCCCAGGGTGAGGGCGTGTCATGGGAGAAAGCAAGCGATGCCCCAGCTTGACCCTGCTACCTGTGCCCTTCCTTACCCTGTCAGAGGCGCCAAGGGCAAGCCATACCTGACGCTGGAGCAACTCATGGACTTCATCAACCAGAAGCAGCGGGACCCGCGGCTCAACGAGGTGCTGTACCCGCCGCTGCGGCCCTCCCAGGCACGCCTGCTCATCGAGAAGTATGAGCCCAACCAGCAGTTCCTGGAGCGAGGTGAGCGCTGCCAGGGCAGGTGCAGGTGTCCTGCTGGCCAGCAGGGGACAAGGCCCAGCTGACCCTCCGCCCCACTCCAGATCAGATGTCCATGGAGGGCTTCAGCCGCTACCTGGGGGGCGAGGAGAACGGCATCCTGCCCTTGGAAGCCCTGGATCTGAGCGCGGACATGACCCAGCCCCTGAGCTCCTATTTCATCAACTCCTCGCACAACACCTACCTCACAGGTAAGCGCCCGAGCCCTTGACTGTGGGCAGGGAGAAAGCTTCCCTGGAGAAGGGCCCGGCCGCCTGGGGAAGTGAGCTGGGATGGGCAGGTGCATGGGGGGAGAAGGGTTCAGGCTCCCCAGGTAGGAGAGGAAGGCTGAGGGGCCCTAGGGCAGACGGCACATGGGTGCCCTGTGTCTTCCTTGGTGCCATGGGGGCTTGGGGAATTGGCACTGGCTGCATTTGGAAGTGAGTCTGGACCAGGGACTGCCAAGCAAGGCCTGGTTCAATGTGGGAGTGGACAGCTGAGGTAACTCCACCTGCCCCCAGCCGGGCAGCTGGCCGGGACGTCCTCGGTAGAGATGTACCGCCAGGCCCTGCTGTGGGGCTGCCGCTGCGTGGAGCTGGACGTGTGGAAGGGGCGGCCGCCCGAGGAGGAGCCGTTCATCACCCACGGCTTCACCATGACCACGGAGGTGCCGCTGCGCGAGGTGCTCGAGGCCATCGCCGAGTCGGCCTTCAAGACCTCACCCTACCCGGTCATCCTCTCCTTTGAGAACCACGTGGACTCGTGAGTGGTGGGGGACCCTGAGCCCAGGGCCAGCCAGTGACATCCGGCCTGGGTGCCATGCCCCCCACCCAGGACCTCTGTCCTCTGTTCCTTGACCCCACCTCCCTCTGAGCTGTGACCTTGACCCCACAGGGCAAAACAGCAGGCCAAGATGGCTGAATACTGCCGCTCCATCTTTGGGGACGCACTGCTCATTGACCCGCTGGACAAGTACCCGGTATGGGGGTGGGGCCGGGCAGGTGGGTGGGGGCTGTGCGGGAGGCCAGGCTCTGACCTGTCTGTGCCCCCCACCGCAGCTGGCCCCTGGGGTGCCGCTGCCCAGCCCCCATGACCTGAGGGGTCGCATCCTGGTGAAGAACAAGAAGCGGCACCGGCCGGCCACGGGTGTTCCTGACAGCTCTGTGCGCAAGCGGCCGCTGGAGCAGAGCAACTCGGCCCTGAGCGAGAGCTCCGCGGCCACCGAGCCCTCCTCGCCGCAGCTCGGTATGCCTGGCCAGGTCCTGGGCCTCGGATTCCCCACTAGCCTCTCCCGGCCCCAGACCCTCACTTGGCCTAACCCTGCCCTGGGCTCTCTTGCCTCGCTAGGCTACACCCCCAGTGTAATTTGACTCCCCCCCTCCCCCCCCTTGGGGCCTGCCTCCAGCCCGTGCATTCTGACCTCTGACCTCAGTGCACCTCATCCACAGAATTGGGCATGCCCTCCTGACCCCAATCCCTGTCAGACTTCCTGGACTGTCACTCGCCCTGTTAGGTGTCATCTCAGCCGACCTTTGCCTGCTCTCTGTAGGAAGTTCCTCTTGTGTCTGACCCCCTGCTCTGTAAGCCCCCTCACTGTATCAGGATGGACCCCTGACTGCTGACCCCTCAAGCCAAGCTATACCCCAGTGGAGGCTGCTGTACCCTAACTCATGACTTCTCACCCCTCTGGGTCACCTTGCCTGCTTCGCTGCTGTATGTGACTTAGACCTTGACCTTTGACTTATGACTCTAACACACACACACACACACACACACACACACACACACACACACACACACACACACACACACACACACACACACACACACACACCTGTTCACCACCATGGAGTCCTGACCTCTCTCTTTTTTGTCCTAAAAATACCACGTGAGGTCCCTGTGCGGTCACTGCCACTCCCCAGACATGGGCCACACATGAGTACACAAGCTGACCCCTGGCCCCCACGGCTCTGGTGTCTGCAGGGTCTCCCAGCTCTGACAGCTGCCCCGGCCTGAGCAATGGGGAGGACGTGGGGCTGGAGAAACCCGGCCTGGAGCCTCGCAAGTCCCTGGGCGAGGAAGGCCTGCAACGGGGCCCCGAAGCAGACCGTGAGGAGGAGGAGGAAGAGGAGGAGGAGGAGGAGCAGACGGACCCCAAGAAGCCGACCACCGATGAGGTCAGGGGACCAGGCAGGGTGACCGGGGAGGTGCATGAGCTCGTTTCCCAAGAGGTGGCTGCAACTCGTGGGGCCAGCCGTGGCGCTCCTGGGGTGCTGGGGAACAGGGAAGGAAGGGGTGGCAGAGGAGTTCAGCTAAGCAGCAGGGCAGGGTGGTAACACCTGCAAATAGAAACTTGGGGCTCACATACAGAGTACACACAATGACTGAAGCCGCAGAACAGAGGTGAGGGGGCTCAGACGGGTCTGGAGGGCCGGTAGAATTGGGGCTGTCGGCCCCTGGCCAGAAGCTCCTGGCAAAGCCACCCCAGTGAGCAGGTGCAGGGGCCCTCCTGCTTGGCACCACTGACTGGGCTGTGGGGGTTGCAGGGCACGGCCAGCAGCGAGGTCAATGCCACAGAGGAGATGTCCACACTAGTCAACTACATCGAGCCTGTCAAATTCAAGTCCTTTGAGGCTGCTCGGAGTGAGTTGGGCGGAGGGGTAGGAAACGGGGATGGGGCAGGGGTTAGCTGTGCCAGGCCCTGCCAGGCCTGATGGATGCTGCTGTGCCCCCGCCACCTTCACATGGCAGAGAGGAACAAGTGCTTTGAGATGTCATCATTCGTGGAAACCAAGGCCATGGAGCAGCTGACCAAGAGCCCCCTGGAGTTTGTGGAGTATCCTGCCACCCACACAGGGGTCTAGCCTGGAGTTTAAGGGTGGGCGCAGGGACGGCTCTGGGGCCCTGGCAAGGAGGGAGCAGAAGCCGAGAAAGGGGTGCACCTGCGGGCAGGAGGCGGGGCGTGAGGGATGGCCGCTAGCAGCCGTGTGGCCCCTGACCTCCGACCTCAGATACAACAAGCAGCAGCTGAGTCGCATCTACCCCAAGGGCACGCGTGTGGACTCCTCCAACTACATGCCTCAGCTTTTCTGGAACGTGGGTTGCCAGCTTGTTGCGCTTAACTTCCAGACGCTGGGTGAGTCCCGGCCCCAGCCTTGACCCCAGACCCTGTCTAATGCCAGCTTCCCAGATCAGATGTGTATACAAACCTTCACCCTGATTGACCTTGGCCTACCCCAGCGACATGTCACTTGCCCACGTGTAGACCCTAATGCCACCTGACCTCCGGGTGGCCTATGCGTGACCCTTGCCCTCCCTGGCATGACCCCCAGATGTAGCGATGCAGCTCAACGCGGGCGTGTTTGAGTACAACGGGCGCAGCGGGTACCTGCTCAAGCCAGAGTTCATGCGGCGGCCGGACAAGTCCTTCGACCCCTTTACCGAGGTCATCGTGGATGGAATTGTGGCCAATGCCCTGCGGGTCAAGGTGGGGCCTGGCAGGGCTCAGGTGGGGGTAGACCAGGCGGGAGGGTGGGTACTCTCAGCGGCCACTTCACCGTCCTTGGCCCTGCCCCCAGGTGATCTCAGGACAGTTCCTGTCTGACCGCAAGGTGGGCATCTACGTCGAGGTGGACATGTTTGGGCTCCCTGTGGACACCCGGCGCAAGTACCGCACCAAGACCTCGCAGGGGAATTCATTCAACCCCGTGTGGGACGAGGAGCCTTTTGACTTCCCCAAGGTGAACTGGGGGGAGGGTGGGGGCTGCGGGGAGAGCCGGGCTCATCTTGGGCCCTCTGGCCTCTTTGAAGGGAGAAGGCAGCGAAGGGGAGGGGCCTGCAGACCACAGGAGCCTGCCCGAGGTGGTGCCCCAGAACTCCTGTGGCTGTCCCCCGGCCTCCCTGCACTCCGTGTGGTCAGGGCCTCTGCGGGCCAGCCTCCGGGGTGGACTCAGAGCTCTGAGCGGATCCGTGGGTGTGCCCAGGGTCCCACTGGCTAGCCACTGGGTCAGGCTGTGAGGACATGATCAGCTGTCAGCTCCAGGACAGTGGTGACCGAGGTGGAGCGTGGGGCGGCCTGGGCTCAGCACCTGTCTGGGCCCGCAGGTGGTGCTGCCCACGCTGGCTTCGCTACGCATTGCGGCCTTTGAGGAGGGTGGCAAGTTTGTGGGACACCGGATCCTGCCCGTCTCTGCCATCCGCTCGGGTGAGGCCATGGGGACAGGGGCCCTCGGCAGCACTTGGTGAAGGGTGTGGTGTGTGCAGGGATCCCGCAGGGCCCAGCTGACGTGTCTGTGTCCCCCCAGGGTACCACTACGTCTGCCTGCGGAACGAGGCCAACCAGCCGCTGTGCCTGCCGGCCCTGCTCATCTACACTGAGGCCTCGGATTACATCCCAGACGACCACCAGGGTGTGCTGTGGTGGGGTCGGGGGTGGGGACACTGCATACCCCAGTTCAGGGAGAGCCCACCGGACCTAAGCGGGGGCAGCGGGCCGGGGGGGAGGTGTGGCCCTGGGGCTCGCAGCCCTGACCCCCGTGCCTTCCGCCCTGCCTTCCCAGACTATGCAGAAGCCCTCATCAACCCCATAAAGCACGTGAGCCTGATGGACCAGCGGGCCAAACAGCTGGCCGCCCTCATCGGGGAAAGCGAGGTGAGCCCCTGGTGCTGGGTGGGCGAGGTCTGGCCTGCCTGACCCTGGGCACTGCTGGCCACAACCCACTGAGCCTTGTGTTGGGGGTGAGGTCAGGGTCACGGGGTGGGGGCACCCATGTGTTCTCAGGGGCCTTGCCTGGGAGCACAGGGTTTGCGGCTGGGCGCTCATAGGAGGGGGTGGCGAGAGCGAGCTTTCCCGGTCCCCACGGGGCCTGTGGCTACGGGCCAGGCAGCTGCCATTAGGGCCGAGTGGAGCTATCAGCGGGAGAGGTTGGGTCCACCATGTGGTCACTTCCTCCGCTGATTAAATCAGCAGCTAAGTGGCTGGGTGCGGATGGAGGAACGTGGGAAGGGGGGTGGCAGCTGGAGGTTTTTCCAGAAGGATCCGGGAGCCCTGAGCCCTGTGCATCCCCGCGTCTGCCCCACACCCAGGGGTGAGGAGGGGTCTCCGGCAGCTGGCTTAATGCCTGTTAGTTCTGACTCTGCAGCCCCAGGTGCTGCCGAGTGGGGGGGGGCCCCAGCAGCAAAGTGGCGGGCAGGAAGGCCTGCAGGGGACCCGTTTCTGGAAGCAGTGGCCTGCTGTCTCCCCTCAGGCCGGCCCCGACACCATCCAGGAGGCCCCATGTCAGCCACCTGGGTGCCAGCTGACCCCAAACCCGACACCCAGCTCCCTGGAAAGCTCCCCACGGCGGCCCGTGGGCCCCATCACCTCCCCGACCAGCACGTCCCTCAGCAGCCCAGGTAGGGGCACAATCAGAGCACGGAGGGTGGGCTGGGGGGGCGCCCGCTGCCCGCTCAGCCACCTCTGTCCCTGCAGGCCAGCGGGATGACCTCATCGCCAGCATCCTCTCAGGTAGGGGCGGGGCCTGGGCCGGGGGCGGGGCTTCCCAGGGGCGGGGCTCCCTGGCCCGCCCACCAGTTCGCCTCCACTCTGGCCTGCAGAAGTGACCCCCACGCCGCTGGAGGAGCTCAGAGCCCACAAGGCCCTGGCCAAACTTCGGGGCCGGCAGGAGCGGGAGATGCGGGAGCTGATTAAGAAGCAGCAGCGCAAGGCAGCCACCCTCACCCGCCGCCTGCTCCACAGCCTGGCCCAGGCCCGGGCGGGTATCCTGTGAGTGTCCCATGTTTGCTGTGCACCCTGCGTGTCTGTGGCAGGGGGCATGCACATCAGGCCAGGTCAGGCCACGTGGAATCGGGTGGCTGTGGGGCTACTGTGCCTGGGACACAGATCCCCCCCAATACCAGGGCCCAGCCGGTCTCCCCAAGGAGTGGCCTCTTGGACCCTGCCCCAGCCCCTGTGTGGTGACAGGCCCTATGCTCTCCCCACCCTCCAACACAGAGGCGGGGCTGCTGTGGGGGAGGACCGGAAGCAGCAGGAGGAGGTGGAGGGGAAACGTTGGCAGGACTTCCAGAACCAGCAGGTGCAATGTCTGCTGGAGCTGCGAGAGGCCCAGGTGGACGCAGAGGGCGAGCTGAGGCTAGAGCACCTGAGACAGGTGAGTGGGTGGCACCCAGGTGGCCTGCCGGCGGCTCATAGCTCACCAGCTGTGTAGCCCTGCCGCCCGGCTCATGCCTTGCCCCCATGTGCACAGGCACAGCAGCGGCTGCGGGAGACTGTGCTGGATGCCCACACAACGCAGTTCAAGAGACTGAAGGAGGTGAACGAGAGGTGGGTGTGCTGGTGTGGGTGCACACGGGCAGCGTGGGAGAAGGCGCAGGCCTGGCGCCATGCACCTGCCACCGCTGACCCCTCCAGTCTGCTGCTGGCGCCCCCAGGGAGAAGAAGGAGCTGCAGAAGATCCTGGACAGGAAGCGTCACAACAGCATCTCCGAGGCCAAGACTCGGGAGAAGCATAAGAAAGAGGCGTAAGCGTGCAGGGTCTGGGGGTAACCCGAGGGGTGGGGGCCTGGCCCTGAGCTCACCACTCTGCTGGCTCCCGCACAGGGAACTGACAGAGATTAACCGGCGGCACATCACCGAGTCGGTCAACTCCATCCGGCGGGTGAGTGGGCACTGCTCCATCCTGGGGACCCCTTCCCCGTGGCCCACCGATCTGTTAGATTTTAAGTTGTCATCTATGTGATCTGAAAGACTGAGATGAGCAGGGCGTGAGGAAGAGGTCTTTTAGGGGGCAGGGCTCCTGTGGCAACTGCTGCCTGTCCACCAGGGTGTGCATTAGCAGGGAGCTGGGCTGGGGTGCAGAGCGGGGCCTTGGATCTTGTCCTCTGTCCACTGGGCCGAGCCCCACTAGGGCCTCGGCCCCCCTGTCCCCCAACAGCTGGAGGAGGCCCAGAAGCAGCGGCAGGAGCGCCTGGTGGCTGGCCAGCAGCAGGTCCTGCAACAACTGGCAGAAGAGGAGCCCAAGGTGAAGCCTGGGGTGGCGAGCAGGCGGGCACCACAGCCTTCTATGCTACCCTTGCCTCCCGTGACGCCTGTCCTGCTGTCCTTCTCCTACAGCTGCTGGCCCAGTTGGCCCACGAGTGTCAGGAGCAGCGGGCCAGGCTGCCCCTGGAGGCCCGCCGCAGCTTGCTGGGCACCGTGCCAGAGGGGCTAGGGGACGGGCCCCTGGTGGCCTGTGCCAGCAACGGGCATGCACTGGGGAGGAGTGACCCCGTGGCTGACCCCGACTCGGAGAGCCAGGAGGAGAACACGCAGCTCTGAGCTGGCGGAGAAGTGGCCCCGGGGCCAGGCCAGGCATGGGAGGGCGGCAGGCCAAGACACTAATGCTTTTTTTTTTTTAAGAAAACCTTTTTATCTTTAGAAATTTTTATTTTTTTAAACCCCTGGGCAAGGCTCCCACCCTTCCTTCGTTAGCGCCAGCACCCCCTTCCTGACCTCAGCTCTAGGAAGGAACTGGTACCCCCTCCTGAGGTGGGGAGACTCTGCACCCCATCCCAGTAGCATCTCACTTCCTGCAGCTCCAGGAAGTCGGGGGCTCCCACGCTTTCCCTATCCCTCCAAACCCGGGAGGTCGTTTTTACACAAATAAAGGTGGATTTCAGGGACCCTGTGTGCAGCATGGTTTGGGGTATGAGGGGCCTTAAATCAGCCTTGGCCCCCTGCTGTGGAGCCCCCTGTGGGCTGTGGGCATTGGCTGGGTTGAGGTCAAGTCCTCATCTCCTGACTCAGGGCTGTCTATTATGGGGGGCCATGTGCCTGCCCCCCTTTTCTGTAGCCCAATGGGACCTCGGCAAGCACCCGGCATTTGCACTTGGCCATTAGCTGGACTGGGGGCGATGGCCTGGCAGCCCCCCTCACTCTGTTAGGGAGACCTTGTGTCTGTCTTACAGATGAGCCGCTGAGGCGCAAGCCTGGGCGGCAGGAGCTCAGTCAAGAGGACCTGCAGCCGAAGGCGGGGACCCCACAGGCGGAGGTGGGATGCTGGCAGCTCCTCAGGGCCCCTCCCGCTTCCTCCTCCCTGGCAAGGCCTTATCTCCGCCAATCCAGTGTTTGTTCTGCTTCATTGTGCTTCCCTCCTGCCCCCACCCTCCAAACGGCAGTGCGGCAGTGCGGAGGCCTGGGACTCGGGCAGGGGTCATCCCGGGTCTCCATCCTATGTCCAGGCATCCCTCGCTGCTCTGCCAGGCCACCTCCCTCGGCCTGGGGGGAGGTGGGAGAAGCGGGCAGGGTCAGCTCGCTCTTCTCCGGACCCCCGTCCTAGAGGGAGGCGCCAGGAAACCCTGGAATGTAGCTGCAGCCCCGCTGGCCAGGACGGGCCACACGGGCACCGTGACCACCTCACTGGCCAGGACGGGCCATATGGGCACCGTGACCACCTCACTGGCCAGGATGGACCACACGGGCACCGTGACCATCCCCTGGCCAGGACGGGCCACACGGGCACCGTGACTGACCCGTTGGCCGTCACGGATCCGGCCGGGGCCGCCCTGGACCTCGGGACCCCCAATGACAGACACTGGAGTCCGGGCGGCACAGACGCTGACTTTATTAGCACCTGTGGTCACGGGCGCCGGCCGCGGCCACCCGGAAGGGCACAACGTCCCGGAGAAGTCACGGCTGACCCCGGCTGACCCCGGGCGCCACTTCCGGAGGCTTCGGGCGGAAAAACTTAAAAACTTCCCAAAGCGCCTAGCTTCGTGAAGCTCTCGCCTGCCCCGGAAGGGAATCGGGGCCTGGGGTCGGCCCGCCTTCTCACGGAAGGGGCCGGACACAACCTTGTTCCGCAGCCAAAGCGACGGCCGACTTCCGCCCACACGCAACATGGCCGCCACCAGCCCCGGGGGCGGGGGCGAAGGTCACTGGGAAGGGGCGGAACTCCCTTTGCCCCGATTCCGATCCCACCAGGATTGGATGACGCGCGTCCAACTGGAGCTTTCCCGCATCTGCATGGCTGTGCCCGCGCTCTTCGGGCGAGGAAGTCCCTTTGGGGCGGGAGAGGGAGAAGGGTCAATCAGCCAGTTGCTTTTCCCTGGCGGCTGCAGTCGGGGCCCTCTCACTTCCGGAATCCCACTACTAAGAGAGCTCCCCGGATGCCTCGCGCTCCGGGGACCGGGGCTGGCGTGGACTACAGATCCCGGCGTGCTCCGGGGCGGGGAGCCGCCGGAAGGGACCGGAGCCGCGGGTCGCTCCGGGCGGGCGCGGCGCTCACCTGCACCGAGCCGTCGAACTCGTCGCTCATCCGCCGCAGCTCGCGGCCGTAGCGCTGCGCGGCCCACAGGTTGGGGGGCGCCGAGCGCGAGCGGCCCCGGAACGGGCTGGGCTCCTCCTCGGCGCCGTCGTCCTCGTCCCCCTGCGCGGGGAACGAGCTGTGGCGACTGCGGGTCTCGGCGGCTGCGGCGCCTGCGGAGAGGGGCTCCGTGGGGTGTCCGTTCCTGGCCAGGCCCCGGGGCAGCGGCCAGGGCCCCCCGGGCTCACGCGTCCCTCTCGGGGCCCGTGCAGGGTGGGCAGGGCGGAAGCCGGCGGCGAGGGGCCGGCGCCAGCTAACCTGATGTCTGGGCGCCGGTTCGTGTCCCGGCAGCCCCTCGCCCCGTCCAGCTCCCTGCCCGTGCCCTGGGACAGTCACGCACGTCCCAAGGCCTGGGGACCCTGCACCCGCGTGGGAGACCCGGAGGAGGCTCCTGGCTTTGTCCTAGCCCAGCTATGGCTGTTGCTGCCACTTGGGGAGTGAACCAAGAGATGCAGATCTTTCCCTCCCTCTCTCTTTTTTTCAAGTACAATTAAAAAAGAAAAAACAATAAACAGAGAGGTGACAGTTATTCGTGCAAGACCTTGAGGAGGCTCTGCCCCCCCCCCCACAGGAGTACCCCAGGCCACGGCGGGGTACAGGGCGGCCGGTGCACCGACCCCGCCCAGCAGGGCGTCCTCGGGCGTCGGCGTGGCCCCCGGCCTGGGGCTGCCAGCTGCTGGCCCGCCTGGCTGGGGCATTTCCTCGTTCTCCTCGCCCTCGGGGCCTCCAGGTGCATGCTCCTGGGGCTCTAAGCGCGCACGTCCAGCTTTGGGGGGTGGGCGGTCATGCCCTTGGACTCCCCTGGCCCTTCGCTCGCAGCGAATGAAGCCACGAAATCTGCGTGAGGTGCCCACCCTCACCCCCCTGCACTTGGCACCCCTCTACACCCAGAAGTGAAAACACAAAGAATCATTTCTGAAAAGCAGAGAAAAACAAACAGTAATAACAGACACTGGGCTGGGGACAGAGCAGGGCAGCAGGCGGGCAGCTGACTCAGCACCTGCGGGCAGGTGTGTCTGAGGAAGGGAGGGCGGGTTTGGCCAAGGAGGTAAACAACACGTTGCCTGCAAGTTACGCCCTGCAGCTCAGCCGCGGGGCCTTCAGGGTCTCCACTGGGCGGCCCATGGCCGAAATGGCCAAGCGCCGAGCCCGGGGAACTCACCCACGGAGCAGGATGACGCTCAGGATGCCGCGGGCCATGTTCACCCTGGTCCATGCCTCCCTACCCCGTTGCTGATGGGAAAACCGGGACTAAGAAGGCACCTGCTGAGCCCAGGCCTGCCCAGTGAGGCCAAGTGGAAACCGAGCAGGTGTTGCCAGCAGTGGTTAAGTCACCTCCGGGGGCTTCCTGCTACCACCCTGGGAGCTCAAGTCCTAGGGTCCCTGCCACCCACGTGGGAAACCCGGGTGAAATTCTAGGTTTTCTGGCCTCGGTCCGGCCCAGCCTTGGCTGCTGTAGGCATTGGGCAGTGACCTAGTGGGTAGAAGATCTCGCTTTCTGGGCCCGCCGGCATGGCCTAGTGGTTAAAGTCCTCACCTTGAATGCTCTGGGATCCTATATAGGTGGTGGTTCTAATCCCAGCAGCTCCACTTCCCATCCAGCTCCTTAACTGTGGCCTGGGAAGCAGTGACCTGGGACAGCACAAAGCCCAAAGCCTCGGGACTCTGCACCCGTGTGGGAGACCTGGAAGAAGTTTCTGGCTCTTGATTGGCATAGCACCGGCTGATGCGCTCACTTGGGGAGTGAATCATCAGACGGAAGATCTCTTTGTCTCTCCTCCTGTCTGTATATCTCTCTTTCCAATAAAAATAAAATAAGAAATCTAAAAAAAAAAAAATCTCGCTTTCTCTTTACCTTTCAGTACATTGAAAATCAATATTTTTTTTAAAAAGGGGGGGGATGAGTGTGGCACAGCAGACCAAACACCACTTAGCAATGCCAGCATTCCACATGGGGGCACCATCCTGACACCCAGTCTCCAGCTGACCTGGCCCTGACTACTGCGGCCATCTCTTTATTGCTTTTTTGGGCCTGGTGCAGTTGCCTAGTGGCTAAAGTCCTGGCCTTGAACGTGCCAGGATCCCACATGGGGGCCAGTTCTAATCCTGGCAGCCTCACTTCCCATCCAGCTCTCTGGCCCTGGTCCTAGGCGAGAGCAGCTGGGAGTGCTGTCCACCTGCTAACGCACTAAGCTTCACTACACCCTGGCTAAGAGGTACCTCACGGCTGCCATGTTGTGCAGGAAAATGTTTAGGCACAAAGCTGGCAAGTGGCTTGTCCGTGGTCATCAAGGCAGCAGGTGGCAGAGCATGCAGGATAAGCCAGGCTCCTTCTGGGACTGGGCACCTCACTCTCAGGCCCCAGATGCCCTCTGTCCCCATGGGGGCCTCACTTAGGGACTGGTGCACCCCCATGTCCGCAGCCACTGCTGGCGGCAGCTCAGCCTGCAGCGGGGAACAGTGAGTTAACCCCCAACTCGAGGTTGAGCAACCCAAGCCTGGGGTGGGCATGGGACACGCCCCTCCCACAGTGCAGAGCCCACTTCAGGCCCCCCGGATCCTCCACTTGTGGCATTCCCACCCTGGGAAGCAGCAGAGGCTCAAGATGCAGGGAGCTGGCACCCATGGGGGAGACCCAAGACTCCAGCTTCCGCCTGGACCAGCCCTGCCTGCTGAGGGCAGTTAGTGACTGAAAGACTACGTGAAAGAGCTCTAACTTTCAAATAGCGCTGTGGCTAAGCCTCCCATACGGGCACCAGTTCAAGCCCGGGCTGTGTCCTGTCCAGCTCCCTGTACATGTGCTGAAAAATCTGCAATGGAGGGTGGCTCAGGTTCAGGGGACTCCACACCCACGTGGGGAGACCTGGAGGAAGTTCCTGGCTCCTGGCTTCGGACTGGCCCAGCTTTGGCCATTATGGCCACTTGAGGAATAAACCAGTAGATCTCTCTTTCTGTGTCTCTTCTCTCTGTAATGCTGCCTTTTAAATAAAATAAATCTTTTTTAAAAAAGATTTATTTATTTTTATTGGAAACTCAGATATACAGGGGAAGAGAAACAGAGCGGAAGATCTTCCGCCCGATGGTTCACTCCCCAAGCGGTCGCAACGACCGGAGCTGAGCCAATCCGAAGCCAGGAACCAGGAGCTCTTCTGAGTCTCCCACGTGGGTACAGGGTCCCAAAGCTTTGGGTCGTCCTCAACTGCTTTCCCAGGCCACAAGCAGGGAGCTGGATGGGAAGCAGGGCTGCTGGGATTAGAACTGGTGCCCATATGGGATCCCGGCGTATGCAAGGCAAAGACTTTAGCCACTACATTATCGCGCTGGACCCAAATCAAATAAATCTTTTAAAAAACAAAAGCAAAGCCCTTGGGAGCCATCAGCTGCAGGAGTGAGGGGTAGGCAGGGCACAGGTGGCTCCCCTCCCAGAGAGTGGTTGCCCACCAGTGAGTGGGCAGGGCCAGGGTGCTAAGGCCACAGACTGCAGTACGACTTGAAGAGTGCAAGATCCAGGAGTGGGAGTGAGCCCATAGGGAAACAGTGGGCACTTCCCTCTTGGGTTGCCAGTCCCATTGGTGGGCATGAGAACCAGGACTGGGACAGGCATGGTTAGACACAGAGTGGCACCTGCCAGCACATGTGTGGGTTGGACAGTGAGACTGGTTGGGTTGAACAAGGCTTCAATGCCCACTGACGTGTATGAGAGCTGAATGGGATGTGGGGCAGACTGTCTGCTCTACATACTGGCAAGCACGTTTAACCAGGGCAGGAGGCAGGCCTTGTAGCGGTTATTGCTGGTTGCTCAGGCTAAACTTCAGCTCCCACTGGTTTGCATGGGGGCTGAGTATGCGGTGGGCAGGATCGGGCTGGGCTGCAACACCCATTGGTTTGCATAGAAGACAGGGCTGGAGACAACTGGTCCAGCAATTGGCATTAAGAGTGTGTGCATAGGCTGATTCGGGTGACGGACTATGCCGTACCCTGTATTGGCATGCACACGCAAGAGTCAGGTCTGGGATCACCCCAGATGAAGTTTCTCTGGGAATCCCCCCAACTGAATCGCTTTACTCAGAACCCCAAGCATGAAGAGAATTGCAGGTTCCATGGTCTGACCGTGGAATGCACGTGTCAGAGCTGGGCCTCCCCAGAAGCTTAGACGGAGCAGTAGACAGCATATCCAGATGCACGTGGAGGATATGGCAGTACACTGGAGCCTGCAGAGGACACCTGGTACCGAAACAGAAGACGGAGGACAGAGCAAATTGTTCAACTACCTCAGCAAAGAGCTGGCAGTGAATACGTGGGCAAACGAAGACTTTAAGGTGGACTACGTCGGCCAGTGGGGTCTGGAGATTTCATTGCAACTGGAGTTGCAAGATTGGCAGTAATTCAGAACTGTTGAATTATCGAAACCACTTGAGCTGAGCCCTCGGAGCACGCCCCGCTTCAGGGACCTGGGGTGTGTGGAAGGCTGGGTGTGGCTTCTCCCCTTATCTCACCCCTCCCCCCAGATACAGGAAGGAAAAAAGAGAATGTGGGAACAATGGTCTCACGGACTTTCCGCTAGCCTTGACCTTTCACACCCTAAGGAAATATATAAAAATTATCAAAAATAAAATTTAGACACGTACAAAATAAATAAAATACATCTGATTAACAGCAGCAGCAACAACAAAAGCCCTTGGGAGCTGTCAGCTCCAGCAGGGAGGGGTAGGGGTGGGCGGGCCACAGGTGGCGCCTCCTCTCCCAGAGTAGCAGCCCACCAGTGAGTGGGCAGGGAGCTGAGGCCCCAAACTCAGCCAGGCATTTCCAGTTCTGTCTTTCCAGGCTGCACTTCTGGAGAAGAGGATGGGAATCAAACTCCTCCACCCTGCTCCTGGTCTGGGCAGCCTCACACACTTCGTCAAACAGCGGTTGCCGGGAGGGGCGTTGGACTAGCAATGAGATGCCAGCACTGTGGCACAGCGCGTAAAGCTGCTGCCTACAATGCCACATCTCACACCACAGTGTCGGTCTGAATCCCAGCTGCTCCACTTCTGACCTGGCTCCCTGATACTCCACCTAGGCAGGCAGCAGAGGATGGCCCAGGTGCTGGGGCCGCTGCCACCTACCTGGG